GTCCCCGATAGAGTGTGCGAGCGGTGCGGATGCGGCTTGTCGTCGGAGTCGCCGACGACGGGCTTCTTCGCCTTCAGTTTATCCCGCTTCTTGTCTGTCTTAATCGACCCATCTTCATAGCGCTAAGATGCTCATGAGCCTCATCCACGACAACAAGACCAGCAATATCTGAGCACGAACCTCGATGCCCTTCTCGTGTTCAGCGAGTTTGACCATCTCTTTGACTAATTTCGCGTCAGGCTTCAACCCCGGTGGGCGTGGTACGACGAATGGGTAGAGATGCTTTGGATCGATGCCAACCCCAGAGAACGATGACCGATGGAACTGGATGCCTGTTCCTGCAAGGAACACCTGGCGTATCACTATGCGTGTGGGAGGTAAGCCGGCGATCAAGACAGTCAGTGGAAAAACATGAACTTACTCCAGCGTAGAGGAATACGAGCCAGGCTGTGGCGCGTGCCATTGGGAACAGAGCCGCCTCCTACGTCTGTATCATCATCATCGTCAACACGGTGTTCTATACACAGGGGCATAAACACAAACCGCAATGGACGCCCGCGAACCAGACCTCCATAGCGTCCGTCTTCCAGCGAGCGCCATTGGCACCTTCCCTCTGCTCAAAATCGCCCTCGCTCTTCTGCTCATCTTCCTTCGTTCTGAACTCAGTTGCCTTCGAAGACTCCGGGTGGTGATAGCGGTGGTCCTGGTGAGTACGTGGTGCGCGATGGGGATTCGAAGGAGGCATGCCCTTCGCGCCTTGGGCCTCTTCGTCGGGCGTGCGCTGGTGGTGGCTGACCTTGAACTTTGCACTATTCAATCGCTGAGCTCTAAATCCACAACGATGATAGGAGGGCTCAAAAGCGTACCGATGTTCGTCGAGCGAGATAGCATGGCGGAAGAAGCGTATGGAGTTGTTCGATTGTGTGAAGGGCAAGCGCTTCGGGATGATACCGACCGACGCAACGGTGTCGAAGACGCCGAGGAAGTCGACGCCGACATCGTTCGAGAAGGCTGGAAACCACAGACACGTTCAGTTCCGGCCGGTTATGTTAATGATGCATGTAGCGGATCTTACCCTTCTTGAATGCAATGCTCTGCTTCCAACCTTCAGGGTCGTCTCTAGCGCTTTAATGGAGTCAGTAGGACCTCTGGAGGATACTCAAGCTGGTGTTACAAACAACATGGCGTATGCGAACGGCACTTGCTGATGGTTGCAGCGCGGCAGGAGGCCGACCTTGTGTATCATCCCTGCCAGTGCTCGAGCGGTATATGCGCCACGGGAGAAGCCGAAGATGCAGATCTTGTCATTTGCCTCGTAGTTCTGCATCAGGAACTCGTAACCCGCTGATCATCCGGGCGTCAGCATTTCTCCTTATTAAGAACAAGAGGAGCGACCAACACATAACGTGGGCATCCAGGTCCTTCGCAATGGCCATGTCGATGAGCTTCTCAAAGTTGGCTGTGCGCTGTGTCGCGACGGTGGGTGAAGTGTACGTTCCGATGCCGGCCTGGTAGTAGACGAGCTGTTGACTCGGGTTGTCCTTGCGAAGCATTTGCTGTGGCACATCGGATTCAGACGTCATTCATTCATGCATGCCGGCGCTACTCACGAAAAGCTGAACTATATTTGAATTCTTCGACGAGATCAGTGTTGGTCAGAGACGGAATGATGATGGCACGGACATCTGCGTCGAACTGGTCTCCAGTGCCATCGAAGCAGAGAACCAGCGTGCGGCGGTCGTGAGAAGGAGGAACCACGCCAGAGTCAAAATCAGCCGCACGTCCGTCGGCACTCTGAGTGTCGCTACCCTCTGATGCCGTCCGCAAGCGCTCATTAAAGTTGTGATGCATGGCGGTGGGCGACGACGTGTAAGATCCGTTGTGCGGCATGACGGACGGTGAAGCGAGACTGTCCAACTCCATGACGAAGGGCACTACACTTATATCTTCGAGTGTCTGTCCAAGCTTGACACGACGCATGGAAGGCGGGCTGGCTCTTGGGTGCGAATCCCAGTCTCGGCGTTCAATGTCGATCAAACGAGCGTAGGCGAACGTCATGGAGCGTCGCGACGAAACTTGCCGGCAATCTTGTGTAACTCCGAGTGGCTGCGAGGCGAGCTGCACAATAGTAATCATGCACGGGTCTCAGCAGGACAGCGGATTCGGGCGCCAGTCAAGCGCGAATTCCGGGGTAAACCGAGTGAGATGTGAGCATCACGGTATGAGGACGCCCATGCTGGGCCGAACAATGGCAAATGTGACGTTTCTCATACCAGCAGACGCCAGTACACAAGCTGATGATGAAGATTGCGGGCTAACTTCGACAGTTGGCGCTACGGAATTTCTATTTGAGTGTCGGTCAAACGGGTTGACAGCCGCCTGTCATTTTCTGCCCCCTCTGCCCCAAGCATGCCCCAAGTCAAAAGTTGGTATTGAGTCATAGACAGCATCTGTCCCGATGCAGTGCATAGCACAAGTTGTACTACCGGTCAACCTGATTTCGAACTGTCCATGCTTCAGACTTGGCGATAGACACGGCTATGGCCTAGGGCGAGCTTCGTTGCATCGTGTCGAGCTCTCGTAGGCTGATGCTCTGTCCAGCGGCGATGAGTGATACGTGACCTTGCCCCAGTGGTAGTGGTCGTTCGAAGGAAAGGGTGACACTGCGTCGCGGCAGTAGCCGTCGTGCGAATCTTCGGCCCGAGTCCGTAAGGCGCGAGTTGCCGCTTACATGTAGGCCACCATGCCAGTCTCAGACGTATGCATACCCACTCAAATGTATGTAAGTACTCCAGAGACAGCTCAGAAGCTACCTTAGAGTCGATCATATCGCTCAGCTATGTACAATCCAAAAAGGAAAGCGTGCATAATTCTGGTAGTACTTATCGACTATGTTCATCCAGAGAATGGTCAGAGAAGAGTCGAACATAATGGTGTTACAGTAAATGATATCCATATCCAAGTGCATATTTGTGTGTAGATGAAGCAGCAGTGCCGATATGTAGCCAATGAACGCGCGACAGTACTCCCCACCCTCAATCGACCCATGTCGGTTCAACAGGGAATCTCGCCCTGGGTTTATACACTCCGCCAGTCAAGCCCTCTGCCTCCATCCTCATCTTCACACTTCGATGCACCAACAACTTCCCATCGCCACGTGGTATCTCCCGCGCTCTCCCAAGGTTCATGATGACCTTCGGGACAGTACCCGTCTCCGGCTCTGGACGCAAAACATGCTGGCGCAATGGCAGAACCTCCAAGATCCACCACGATTTCGAGAGCTGAAGCGTGTCAAACATAGGGCAGAGCGCATCGCGGATCTCTTCATCCTCTTCGCTCATCTCAAGGACGACCTCTCCGTAGTCTGCTTGTGTCTCCTCGGCGAGCGTTTGACCGGTGCCCGATAGCGTGTGCGAGTGATGCGGACGCTGATGTGGTCTAGCAGACTCGCCAGGATCCTTCCTCTTTCCGTGCTTCTTGTCTTTCTTGATCGAGCCATCTTCATGACGCTACAAGAGCCATGAGTCCAGTGCACCAAAGGCTACACGCTTGGAGACTGACCTCAATCTTCTTCTCGTGCTTAGCAAGCTTCACCATCTTCTCGACCAGTTCGGCTGTAGGCTCCAGCCCCGGCGGACGTGGTACCACGATTGGGTACAGATGCTTCGGGTCAATGCCGATCCCCGCAAACGATGAACGGTGGAACTGAATGCCTGTTCCTGCGAGGAACGTCTCGCGGATCACTTTGCGAGCGGTCAGCCCACCAGTCCCATGTCTACTCGGTGAATGGGGGACTTACTCCAGCGCAGAGGGATGCGAGCCAAGCTGTGACGTGTGCCATTGGGGACAGAACCACCTCCCACGTCTGAGATCTACTCAGTCCGGCGTTTGGCGATGAAGAGGAAGCAGTGCGTACCGCAATGTACTCCCGCGAACCATACCTCCAGGACATCTGTCTCCCAGACAGATCTCTCCCTCTTGTCGAAGTCGGCCTCGCCCCTGTGCTCATCTTCTTTGGCAACAAAGTCATGCGCCTGCGAGGTCTCTGGATGATGGTAACGATGTTCCCGATGAGTCTGAGGGCGACGGTGAGGATTCGAGGGAGGCATGCCGGCGGCGCCCTGGATCTGATCGTCGGGCGTGCGCTGGTACTGGTTGGCCTTGAACTTCGCGCTGACCGGAGGAGTTGGTACATTCACAATCCTCGGAGTGCGGGTTCGGCTCACCGGTGCTCATCCAGAGATATGGCGTGGCGGAAGAAGCGTATGCAGTTATTCGACTGCGTGAAGGGCAAGTGCTTGGGGATGATGCCGACGGACGCGACCGTGTCAAAGACGCCGAGGAAGTCGACGCCAACGTCGTTTGAGAAGGCTAGCCACCAGGCACAATTAGATCCAGCGGTCTCGACTAGGGAATGCGGACATACCCTTCTTGAACGCGATGCTCTGCCTCCATCCTTCAGGATCGTCTCGAGCGCTTCAATGGAGTCAGTAGGACGTCCGAAGGCTGATCAAGGTCATGCTACATACAACATGGCGTATGCGAAGGGCACTTGCTGGTGGTTGCACCGGGGGAGGAGGCCGACCTTGTGTATCATCCCTGCCAGTGCTCGAGCGGTATATGCGCCACGGGAGAAACCAAATATGCAAATCTTGTCGTTCGCCTCATAGTTCTGCATCAGGAACTCGTAGCCGGCTAGTCATGTCGACATCAATGATGGCTGTCAAGAAAGACATGAGACGACGTACACATAACATGGGCGTCTAAGTCTTTCGCTATGGCCATGTCGACAAGCTTCTCAAAGTTGGCAGTGCGTTGTGTTGCTATTGCTGGAGAGGTATAGGTCCCGATGCCAGCCTGGTAATACACGAGTTGTTGACTCGGGTTATCCTTCCGAAGCATTTGCTGTGGCGCATCAGATCATCAGATGTCATTCATCTGTGGCCAAGATGGCACTCACGAAGAGCTGAACAATATTCGAGTTCTGCGACAAGGTCAGCGATGCTTCAAGCACGGTACGATGGTGGTACGAACGTCTGCATCAAATTGGTCTCCAGTGCCATCGAAGCAGAGCACCAGGGTCCGACGATCATGAGTGGGAGGTACCACGCCGGGGTCGAAGCTCGCAGAACGCTCGATAGCGTCTTCGCTATCACTGCCCTCAGACACCGTCTGCGAGCGTTGGCTGTAGTTGTGCTGCATCGCTGTGGGCGATGAAGGGTATGATCCGTAGCTTGGCATGGTTGGTGAGGACACGAGAGCTAACGAGGGAACACTGCAGAAGAGAGGTTTATGTACGTGTAGCGTCTGCCTTAGTTTGACAGGATGCATGGAAGCGCGCGTGGCAGCTGGGCGCTTGTGTGTGGATCTCGATCTCGGTCTTCTTCTACAATCACTATAAATCAGTCTTCTTGAAACGCACCGGGTCTCGTAGATCTAAATGAGCGCGTACTGTGTGCCAAACGGGAGTAATGCACAGGTATACGGGGGAACTGGGGGGGTCGCGCATTATTCGAGCGAAATGCCGGCGGACTCCGGGAATAGCTGGAGTAGGCGGGAGCTCGGTCTGATCAAGGCAGAGGCGTGCGCCGTGGTCACGATGCATACCAGGAAGGTAGTGGTTCTAAGAACATGAACAAATGAGATGTTTCCCATGCTAAAGACGCAAGAGGTCACCGGTGTTCAGCAGTCCATGATGAAGTATGGGAACTAAGATGGACAGCTGGCGCTCTGAGAAAGTTGGGGTAGCTGTACTTGGCTGTTGTTCGACCGACTCAACACCTCCGTGGCGTCTGCAACTCCAAGTTCAAGATGACCAGGTCATCGACGACGTTCGTGTTGTTCGAAAGCATGTCAGAGCTGCGTCAAGATCATGTCAGTAAGCCCATAGCGGCCAGAGATCGCTGACGAGGCTGCTCGCTCGGAACAGCCATCACGAGTACACTCTGCTTTGGACATGTTCTATTCTTCACCAAACACTAGAAGCGTATCAGGCGTGGTCCGCTGTTCCGTCTGAACGGGAGGCTCGCAAGAGGAGGCAGCACCATGCGTTTGGACATTCAAGCTGTAAGCACCGGGATGGCAAATATAGTGCAGATCAAACTGTCTGTGTACATACTGGAGCATATCTTCGACGACCGGGTCGGCGATCTTGGTGGATCACCGTATACAAGCACTCTCGCGTATCTATCAGAACATTTGGTCATACTTGGGCAAGCACGAGTACCAGTGGTAGTCTGCACACGTATGCATCAGCGTAAGAACCGGGAGAACCACGGTGAAACGTACCGAAGTTGTCCTCGCCAGTACACCAACACTTTCCACGCTTGTGCGCGTCCGACATCGGACAGTGCTCAAACGGCTCGTGGCGGTAACCGATGTCGTTGAAGAAGTGCAACTTGTCCTTAGGCGCGAGCAGAGCCGCGCCGATTGAATGCACGGGCGCGTCGCCCCAGCGCTCATAGTAGAAGCCTCCGGCCTTGTCGAGCGTATCGAAGAACTTTCCGTACTCCTCGGAACGCCAGAAGTCGAGGTCGCCGATCTCGAAGTTTGACCAGACTATGGGGAGAAGATCAGCGAATGAACTTACGCGTCGGAATGGTAGGGAAACATACAATGGCAACGGTTGTAAGTTTCGCCGTTGTCATCCGAGAGGAAGCGCATTCCGTTATCTTTGGGAATCATGTCCGGATTCTCGTCGATGAATTCTGTGTAGCACGGTCAGAGCGGGGGAGGTCGCGGAGAGGACCGTGCGTGGCGTACCTCTGACTGTGTCCCAGAGGGTAGTGATCGTCTCGCCATATTCAGGCAATGCGATGGTAAAGCCTGATGGGAGAAGCTTGAGCACGAGAGCGCCAAGTATATCGCGTGACAACTGACCGTAGACCTTCTTGTTGTCCTCCATAAACAACAGAGGGTCATAATCGAGATCACAGAAGAACGTGACGTCCGGCCTGGAAGCACCGACGGGGATTAGACGCGCAAACATTGATCGAAAGATGAACAACGTACTCGACACGCCAGTAGTAGCGGTACTTCAACATCAGCGGATGCCTGTAGAAGAACTATCGCACAATCAGGGACAAGCCAAGGCCACACGAGACGAGTACATACGCCGGAGTTGAAGCGACACATGTTGCGGTATCTGTGATGCGGTGTTAACGCTGGACGGGATGAAGCGCTGCGCTTCCACGTACGGCACGCTTCCTGCAAGAGTCTAAGCGACGAGCATGCGAGTAATGCTGCAGAGTCACGCACCTCCATAGATGACCTTATCCTTCACCATTTTCTCCCGAGCGCGTGTTGCCTTGCTCTCGTCAATCCAGTCCGGCTGGTACCAATCATCGTGGGGAATGAGGCCAAACTCGATAGGTGCCGTCGTAAGCGCAGAAACGCCCCTGAGAAGTAGCAGTTGTGTTAGAGCGGTTTCGATAGACGAATGAAGGGGACGCACTCTTTGAACTGGTCGCTGAAGGGCTCCTCGTTGAGGAAAGTGTAGGGATATTGGAACTGCTTGTTGAACCGGTCCTCCATTTGCTTCATACTTTTCATGATCCCCTTGAGATCTGAATTACGAGCCAGCATGACAATGGTGGCATTTGCTTTCCGCGCGCTTATGGGTTGAACGGCTGATGAGTCTGAGCTCCAGCGGTACGAATCTGGCACCTCGCGCGAGGGGTCCAGTCCACCGCTCAACGACGACTTGAGACGGCCAATAGAAGTCGCATTTCCATAGCCTTCGTGTGAGATGGAGAGAATAAAGTGTAGTCCGAGCTACGAGCCGAGATGAGTTTGATGCACGCCGCGCGACGCGGGAATAATCCAACGCACAATGACGAAGAGGACGAGGACCACATATCGCATGGGGGTCATCATCTTGGGCAACGTCTAGCCCGGCGGCGGCGCTGAGGGCGACAGCAAGTGAAGGATGCGCAGCGCCAGCAGCGAGGTTGGTGGTGGAAGCAACGAAAGCTCGTAAAGATGGTTACTGGACGTCGCTGCTGCGTAAATATAGAGTTGCGCGTGCGCGGCGTGGACTTCAGCCCGTCGTGGCGGACGCGAAGCCGGTGCCGCTCCTCTCACATACACGGCGACATGAGAACGATGCGCTACTCGGTTCTCCTTGTAAAGGCAATCCCCATTGATTATATAATACAGATATGCTACAGTGTGAGATCTGGTAGCCCAAGCATTGTCCCATGTCCGTAAGGAGCGCTAGCAGTAAACTCCCTTCACTTCCCAGACGCTTTCCACTTGTCAAGGCATGAGCTTGAAAGCGTGTCTGTTTCGCACAATGAGCACACTGTTCCGCTCGGGTACGCGGTGGATCACTGACCGAAGCTCTTCCTGGAATCACAGCTGCACCTCCCCCGTTGCCAAACCGCCTCGTCCGTAGGGCAATGCTCAAATGGCTCATGCCCGAAGCCAATGTCATCGAAGAAGTGGACCTTGTCCTTCTTTAGCAGGAGGGAGACGCCTATACTCTTAATGACAGAATCACCCCAGCGCTGTACATCCGTTTCAGCTAAGTGTCGGCGCAGGAGGTAAGCTTGGGTAAACGTACCTCGTAGTAGATTCCGCCTTCATGATCCAAGAAGTCGAAATATTGACTGTACGGTGCACCGCGAAAGAAGTCCATGTCGGCAATCTCAAAATTACTCCAGACTGCGCCGAATCAGAGTCACGCGATGGTAGAGGTAAACGAAAGCGGCTCACAGTGACACATGTTGAACGTCTTGCCTCCATTGTCGGAGACGTAGTCCATCATGTTCTTCTTCTCGATAAGGTGAGGATACTGGCGCCTAAATTCTGTCGCCAGTCAGCACCCGAGGGTCCATCTTTGATCGACTACGCGCTTACTTGCAACGCTATCCCATAGAGTGGGTATAGTCTGCGCATACTCTCTGGGGCTGAGAGTGAAGCCGTAGGAGATATTTCGGTCCTCCATGTAGACGAACGGGTCTTGTGTGACGTCGCAGAAATATCGGACGTCTGGGCTACCACGTTGTCAGCTCTGTGCCACGACTATTGTAGGGATTCACTCACTCGACGCGCCAATAGTACCGGAATGACTGCAAGAGTTCATGATGATAGAACAGCTGCCAGACGTAAGGGTTGTGAAGCTGTACAGCGCGATCCAGTGAGACATACCCCAGAGTACCATCGGAACATATTCCTGAACCTGCCGGGAGAATAAGCAAGAAGGCGAGGATACAGGTAAGACGATAGGCATACGTGTAACTATCTGCACAATAAGTCAGCATAGGATGTACAGCAGAGGATACTGATACTGACTGCCATGCTCTACATGCGTGAACTTCCTCCTCGCCTCAGCTGCTTCCTTGCCGTCCAACCAGTCCGGCATGCCCCAGTGCTCTTTCGGGATCTCTCCGAACCATACGTGACCAGAAGCTTGCACCTGTGCTCGCCTAACAGTGCTCATCAGCAGATGACCGGTAGCGACACAGGAGAGGGCGCACCGCTTGAAGTCATCACTGAAGGGCTGGTCATTGAGAATGACCCAGGGATATGCGTGCTTCTCGTTGAAACGCGCCTCGACCTGGTGCATGCTTTGCAATACGCCGGTCAGGTCCTTCCCCCGCGCTAGCATCAGGAGTGTCGCATTGGCGCGTCGGGTACCTCCAGTCCCAGGTAGATGTATAGCGGGTATATAGTCCTGGAGATGCGGACTGGCAAGGCTATAGCGTTCCGAGGTTTGCTGGAGGCCGAGATGCAGGAGTACCTGAATGGCGTCTGTGAGCCACAGCTAGCGAGCAGCGTCAGGTACCATCCGTACCAGTGCGCCCACAGCGCATGTCAGCCATAGAAGTTTGGTAGGACGAATAGACATCGATCGTGGATGCTCAGACGTCCAGTAGCTGACCGAGAGTTTCGGCAGCAGAGGTGACGGTTCTCAAGCATCGTGAGTGTGCTGCGCGAAGTACCGCGCGCGGCGTGAGACGGTCGCGACATGAATGGGACGCGTCTAGACTCTGACGTCCATATGTGCCCACATTGTTCGGTAGCACTCGTCCAGTAGTACTATAGCCTCGAAGTGTACATATATGTATGGTGTAGATGCAGAGTCCATGTGCTCGAAGTGTCCATCGTCGACTACTCTAGCCTCAAGCCCCCTCATTCTGTGTACCCCATGTGCGACTTCCACCGCGCAAGACAGCTCCCGGGCCACGACACTGGACCAAGGTCAGACTCGTTCACGTTGCCGGTGCAGAACAGCGTACCGTAGTTGACCCGTGCATCGCAAATGCACTGTTCGCTCATCCATATCTCGTTATCTGTGGGGCAATACTGGAACGATGGCCGATAGTTCAGGGCCTCGGTGCGGAAGCCGAAGTCGGCAAAGAAGTGAGTGTTCTCTTTAGGCAGGAGGAGCTGGGCACCAAGACTATGTATGGCGGAGTCCGCCCAACGCTGAATGTCTGGTCAGTATCGACGTGCGTATTCTGATGGTGCTGACTCACATCATAGTAGAAACCGCCGTCGCGGTCTAATCGGTCAAAGAACGCGGTATACGCGCTACCACGGTAGAAGTCGAGATCCGCTAGCTCATTCTCGCTCCAATCTATGTTCATTGACGATCAGAACTTGGGTTTTGAGAAGAGAAATGCGCATACATGAACAAGCATCGTATGTCGCGCCATCCGGAGTGAGGAATGACAGCATGTTTCCTTCAGCGAGTAAATCCGGGCGTTCATTCATGAAGCCTGTACGCAGGTCAGTCAGTGTGGCGGATGTAGATAGCCAGTAACATACTCTTCACGGATTCCCAAAGCGTGCGGATGGTCTGCGAATACTCTCGAGTGGTAATTGTGAAGCCTACGTATAACATCAGCAACACTCGGGCGTCATGGAGATCAGCGTACCTAGGGACATGTTTCTTTGCTCCATCACTCTGAAAGGGTCTGAGTGGACATCGCAGAGGTATTGGTGTTTGGGGCTACAGTATGGATGAGCACAGGAGGGAAGGATGAGACTGCGCGCAGCACACACTCAACACGCCAGTAGTATCGATACTTCCGCATAAGCTCGTGATCTGCAAACTTCTGTTGGGCGAATTAGTGACATGGCCATCGAGTGTCAAAGATCCCTCACTTTTGCAAGATAGCGGAAGAGGTTTCTCTTTCTAAAGCGCGTAAGATGACGTCGATCTTTAGAGGGGATCTGCCTACGCAAGACTTTCTGTACCATCGTTAGTGACGAGTAGGCCATCGTCAAGAAGCTACACACCACCGTCTGGTATCCTCTGAGCCGCCATCTTCTTCCTAGCCTCTGAAGCTCTCTGATTGTCGATCCAGGAAGGCTGCACCATGTCGTCCCTGTGAACGAACCCGAAGTGTACTTCCCCAGAGACGAGCGCTTGCACCCGCCTCATAGGATGGGACAATCAGTCAGAATTCATAGGTCTCTTTGCGGCTAGCGTACCACTTGAAATTGGGATTGAACTTCTGATCTCCCAGTATCACCCATGGATAGCCGTGTATACGGTTGAACCGCATCTCGACTTCCGAGATGGCGTACAACACTCCGGTAAGATCCACGTTCTGGGCCCACATCAGGAGCGTCGCGTTGGCTCGATTTGCAGCGCGCGGGTCGACAGCGCGCGGAGGTGCTCGATACACGAGGCGAATGATGGAAAAGGTAGAGAGCTGTGGCGTTGTTCGCTCATGTTGACGCTTCCAGCGAGGTTTACATGCGTACCAGGGCCAAGGCCGTCCATACAATCCAATTTCGCGGGAGGTGATAGCCTACGCGCATCGCAAATATGGTAGTCGTGGTTGGGGTAGCCTCGCGAATGGTCGGGAGGAGCAAACCAACAGTTTGGGCGCTTCTGCAGAGGTCTGCAGCCGCCCAGGCGCAGTCACGTATGATCTAAGAAAAGAAACAACACAGGCGTAGGCGCCTGCGCACTTTGTGCTGCGCTCCGATCCGTCATCGAGGCTCGAGAAGAGTACCGAGCAAGCGCGCGACGTCAGATAAATATGGATAACGCGGTCACGCGAGTTGAAGATCCTCGGAGGGCACATCCGTACGAGAAGGCTCCCAGCCGCCACATCAGGTAGCCAAAGACACTCCTTCATCCTATTGGCCTTGAGGACTGACTCTCACCGGTTATATTTTTAGCACGGTTAGATGAAAAGTACTGTTGGGATCATCACACAGGCGTCACCCAATCAGTGCAATCAAGATGTGCCACAAGCGGCGATTATATAGATGGACACCGACGACTGGTGTATGCGACGTGCTGAGGTGCGTATAGTATGCGGCCGTCCAAAACGATGAAGTACGTGCGCAGGGGCAGAACAGTAAAACAAGCGCGACGGGGATGTACCGATACCGATGAGAGCAATGCGGACGTGAAGACGATATGAACGATATGCTAGGGAGTGAAGGCAGCAGACAGATACGCGCAATGGATGTGGAGCACGAGAACAGGCGCAACGGACGGGAAGCAGCATTGACAGACTATGAGGCGGTATTCAAAATGTGGAGCGGGAGACCGTGAATGAACTATTAGCTGCAAGTCTGCACATAAAGCGATTGATGGGCGCGTAGCGTATCGAGGTCAGGAGAAGTGCGATGCAAGAGGGAAACGTGAGGGAGGCACAAGACACAGATGCAATGAGGACGGCAAGATGGAGGGTATTAAGGGAAAGAAGCGTCCGAGAAATGAGGGCTACATTCATGTATGTGCAAACTAGGTAGTGCTGGTTGGGGAGACGGCCTGCGCATGAGCACGCTGGATCTTGTTGAGACAACGCTCGACTGCGGAGTGAGTTAGCATCAGAAGGACGCAAATCATATGAGACCTTACTCGAGTTGAGATGCTTTGTGTACACAGATGACAGCTTCCTCATGGCGGCGAGCTGGGGACGAACACGGTTGCACAAGTCTATCTGCTGCTGGCCTTCGGCATGCATCATAGCACGCTGAAGAACATAGTCTACGACAAGAATCAGGTTGACTATCCGCGACAACGAACGGAGAGAACACGTACTGGCGTATTGGTCCTTCATCATGAGCGTGATGGTGTCCTGGCCCTCCTCGCCAGTCAGCATGATCTCGTCGACGAGCAGCTCGCGACCCGCAGAGTCAGACGTCACGATTGCCTTCTCGACGACATTGGATGCAAACTTGTGCTTGGACATCGTGAGCATGTGGCCGCGAAGCTTCTCAACGACCACGGCACGGTCCTTTGGCTCGCCATTCTCGCACAAGAACTGGACGACATAGTTCTGTAGAGCGTTGTCAGAGAGTCACGTATAAAGGACAGCACGGTTAAGACATGGCCGCTTAGAATGGTACTCACGCCAAATTGATCTTGCATCAAGTCGGTGATGTACTTCTGCAACTCATCGAGCAGAGGACGCGTCGCATCGAGGCCAAGGTGCTCCAGGCAACGCTGAAGAACACGGCAACCGTAGGGGTGAGAAGCAAGCTCGTAGACGTTGCCAACGAATGACGCGATAAATGCCAAACGCTCCGGCGGAACACGTTCAATCAATTTCTGTACAACCTGTGGCGATTAATGCACTCTTCAGCATTCGTGAGCAGCGAATGAAGCTTTTTAAGCTTACATGATTCCCGTTGGGGTCCTTGACACAGCGCATGACCTCATCCTTGAGCTCCCGAACAAAGATACCCTGCAAGTCAGGGCCGACGAAGTCGATGGCCTGCCATCTATGTTTCAGGACCGCATTAAGAACATAATAGAACAAGGGCTGACCTTCTGCACGACACGACAGCCATACATGTGTAGGGACAATTGCAAAATGTGCGTCTCCATTGCCGTCATCATCGCAGCCTTCTGGGGTCCGGTGCCATGCTCGAAAAGCTTTTGGATAACCTTGAAACCTGTCAGAGAAGAACGGTAGAAATTTTGCGATACACTCACATAATTGCCAAAAACATTCTCCACGAGCGCCATGAAGTGCTGCGGGACAATCTCATCAAAAGCCTTCTGGCGGACGTCGGGCCCCGCCGTGTCGAGGCGATGCTGAATGAAGCGGGACCCATGCTGGTCAATTGAGAACTCGACTATGTGGCCGAGAATATCCTGAAGGGGCAAGTGTGTGAGCGACGTTATCGATAGCACGACAGCACACGCCACAATCACTGACCTTAAGCTCCCAGCGACGACTCTTGTTGGCTCGGAAGTCCTCCAAGATTGCCGAGCGAGGGCCATCGGCGCTGCGGTCACGATACCCTTGCGGGCCCGGCTGACCTCCGCGACGACGATCAGGGTTAAGGCGGTGCGGGTAAGAACCGGGTGAAGGCGCGTTCAGGCTCGGGTAAACCACACCGTTGCTGATCGTCATCCCCATGCGGGGCGAGTAGTCGCCTGGCGGTAGACCGTAACGAGCATGTGGCGACGACTGTACACCGACGCCAGGCGGGTAAACCATAGTGGCCGTGGGCGCCATTGGGACCTGTTGCTTTAGGTGATACTGACAAAATTAGTTAGCATATATTCGGCGCTTACAGTGCCAAGCGACCTACCAGATAGTCCGCGGGAAGGATTGGGAATTCAGCAAGAGGAGGGCCGACCTGCATGGTCAGCGAGGGAAAGGAGATCATGTTGGCGTGAAAGTGCGTACCATGGCTGGCGATGTGAAGTAATAACCGGCTGGGGCCATTGTCGCGCTGTAGTCAAAGAAGCCTGTGGGCTGCTATTGACGACCACAAAGAAGTCAATAACAGCGCGTGGATCACCACGGAGACATGGGCGCACCGCAGTCGGGAAGACCGGAGCGACCGGAGACGATGCAGCATATATCGCGGGGTCGGGGTGAGTACGGTAGGCGTCGTAAGGGAAAGAGTAGTCCGAATATTGCTCGCGCCCGGGAGTGGTGCTCTGATAGGAGGCGTAGTCGGCCTGCCCGAAGCCACCAGGGTATGCGCCACGGGGTTGCTGGTTGACACGGGGTGATATCTGACCAGGTCCGGGACCAACGCTGGAGGGCACCTGAGGCGTATACGACGAGTATGGCTGGCCGCCGGCGTAATCATCATCAACGGCCATGCCGCGGAGCTGCCGGGCAAGATCACTGTCGACGGCGCCTGATGCCTTTATAAAGGGAGGATAGAGTTAATAAAATCATTATGTCATTAGCGCTGCCGCGAAACGGGACGAACAACGCGAGGCACGGAGATCCCCCCAGAGGGCGTCCTAGGACCGGATTGGCGGGCGCGGGTTCCGTTCGGATGGGCGAGTGTATCCTGTAATGGAAGACATAAGCTAAGCCCAAAACACGCGACATGTCATATCAATGGACGTACATAGTTGACAGGATCCTTGAGCCCGCCGCCGACGACGTCTTCCCACTGGGCGCCCGAGCGCCAGCCTTCAGACAGCGAACGGTATCCGGCGGCCGACTCATTTGGTGAGCTGCGGTGGTCGCTACCGCTGGCAGTCGTCGAGTTGGACACAGTGCGCTTGGGCGCTCCGCTCCAGACCTGAGCACAGCACGTTAAATCCGTTATAATACAATAACGCTGCGAGGTTGACGAACCTGCCATGTGGGACTTAGAGACTTGAGGGGGCGAGAGGGGCCCATACCAACACCGAGCATGGCTCCAGTCTGCGTAGGTGTTAAACGGGGGTGTGAATGGGGCTGAGCGAGAGGTTAGACGGAAGCAAACGTCAGTTAGGATGTAACAATACGAACGTTTCCGGGCGACGTTGAGGAAGGGGAATGGGGGCCAGAGCGTGTCGAGCCGCCAGAGGCTTTGCGCGATGCCATGGCGTGTGGTGGTGGCAGGGATTAGAGTGCTGGCAGTCGAGTCGGATGTTAAGCGTGCTGTGCCGGCGGACAAGTCCGGACTGATTGTGACGCACCGCTCACAGAAAGCGCAATTACGGTTGAGGGAGGGAGGCGCAAGCAGGCACGCGTATAATTAACGGTGATACGCGCAAGACACGAGCAACTGAACGAACACGCGTCAGAAGTCACGAACAACAATGTAGGGCGCTGAGACGCGCTGGTAAACACGGGTAAGATACCTACGTGACGAGAGAGTGGGGCGGGAGTGTCGCGGTGCGAGGTCGGGAACAAGCGAGGGTGTATTATACGCGACCGCGACGCGTGGGGGTGACGCGTACGGGTAAAGACAGACGAGAAACAGTAAAGACAGGCGTTGGGGGGTTGGAAGGATGGTGGGGGTTTGCGGATGAGGTGTGAGTAACGTTTTGGCTTGCGACACACGGGAAGGTCGCCCGAGGGCAACCATTGGCCGCGAGGCTAGCAAGAATCCCGAGGGTAAATTAAATTTTGATCCACAAAGTGAACTGAACAGGCACCGGCGCCAGCGCTCTTGCAGGGTCAGCTATAGACGGTGGACCGGCGGGGAGGCGAGGCTCGCGAGTGCGCCGGCAGTCGCGTCACGCCAGAAGTTCAACTTCGCGAATTTGCAATCGGTAGCGCGCGGCTCGCATGACGCGTACCTCACTTCTCATCGGGCGTAACCACGACCCCTGCGCGTACTCCATTTAACCAGATAGTTGTCCGTGCTCGTCCTTGTTGTGTCTTGCGCGCTCTTGTCGATGGCTACAAGCAAGTTGACAGGTTGTTGACAACATCAAGTGAGACCTCGTGCGGCGGAGTGGAATTCTTAGAAGCCGTCTTTCGAACTTCTCGACGCACAGCCACAATGTTTATAACTTTAAAGTTGTCGAACTGATCGGTTGTTGTCCACGCGTCCTGCGCACGTCTGGACCGGGTCTATCGGTACCGCCCCTTCGGCGCGCACCTGAGACCGTCATGGTGCTCCGGCGGCGGCGGGGGACGACAGCAACAGACGGCGTATCTCCTGCCCTTCACCTGCCATACAACGCTATACAGTACTCTACTGATGGTGATGTACAACTTGACATGCTTCCTCGCAATCGGTGTTCCGTCATTGATCGCCGTATCGACGATCCTAGCCGCGCTGACTCCAAGGGTTGGAATCGAGCGTAAAAAACAGCGCCCTACACTGCTTGTCCTCGGGTAAAAGGGAAAGAAATGATATGATCCGGGGTGTATATGCATTGACAAGGGGAATAGGTGTAGAATACGACGACAGGTGAGACAAGGTAGTACAGTGGACAGCGAATGCGAGGTATATCTCAAAGCATCGACGGCGAGGTTCAACGAGCGCTCTATCTTCATCGGGACTGGAAGAACCAAGACGCGCGCTTGCCTGTAACGGAAAAGAAGCAAGATCGCCGGTTAGCGGGCTCGTACCATTGCGGGGAATAACAAGCGACTTACCGGTTCTGTACAAAGACGCGGACGGAGAACAGAAAAGAAGCAGATGGTTAATGAACTCGTTAGCGTTCGCGATCCGTCGCGTAACGTGATGGGCACATACCCTTCCTCGTTCTGCAATCTTGCCAGTGGACTTCCGGATGCGGCACCACCGCCTGAGATGGGCGTCGGTCCAGAGGGGACCGGTGCGGCGCCGCCTCCCCCACGCAAAGGCTTGGCAATACGTCCTGCGAAGCTGAGAGAGGAGGTCGTCGCGGCCTTCTGAGCTGTATGGGCCAAGCCGGGGATCCAAAACACAGAAGCGCGGCAGAGGAATGGAGCGCAAATGCGGGGGTGTAGGATGTCCGGAGAGGAGGAGCAGAAGCACGGCGAAGCCCCGAAGCCCGATCGTAACGCGTATTCGATGAAAGAAGTCGGATGCGAAGCAGAAGCGCAGGCAGAGATCAAGAAGTAAGCGACTGCGTCAGCAAACGGTCACGTACGGCAAAACAAAACGGGAAGCACGTACCGCGCGCCTGGTCCAGCCTGTCCTTGACAGCCTGCAACTGCGCCTCGAACTTCTGGTTCTGCAGCGCAAGCCGGCGGTCAGCGTCCTGGAGCAACGCTTCGAGGTTCTGTATCCGCTCGTTTCTCGCGAGGAGCTTGCGTTCGGCGATACCAGCCTCCTTCTTGAGGGCCGAGTTCTGGTCGACAAGTTGCTTCTGCACAAGCGTAAGCTGCTCGAGGTTGCGCTCGAGGAAGGCCATCTTTTTCTGCTGAGCCTTGGAATTGCTGTTCCGGATCACGTTGTTGTACTGCTCCTTGATCTCGTCCAGCTGGATCTCAAGCTCGACGACCTTCTCGCAGCGGTTCTGAAGATCGCGCATGAGGCTCTTCTTCACGCCGTCGAACTCGGCGAGCTGGACGTTGATTGCCTTGCGAGTGCGCTCAAGATCCTGAGCACTCTCCGCGAGGTTCTTGCCACCCTCGATGCCCGCAGAGGTCACCGCGAACGCGCGCTGTAAAACGATCATGAGCATAACGCCAAGGAGGATATACAACGCGAAGAGGGCGGACATGCGGCGACCGGAGCGCCCTGCAAGCACGAGTGCTTGTTAGATCAGAGCGCACGACCCTATGTAGGCCGTGCATCATGTCCGCCACGGGTCGTGTGCCCCAGATGCTGCGGCCGAATGAACCCCGATGCACACAATGATCCAGGGGCAATACGGCTTTGTGATCACGGTGATCGTGAAGGATCGCCCGCCCACTGCCAGCCCGCATATTCCAGGAGCGCCGAGGGCGGATATTGTACATACCTTGAGCTCCTCATTGACGCTCTTGAGGCTGTCAATGGCCGCGTTCAGACTCCTAACCTCATTGCCCTTCAACTCCAACTGCTGCTTCAAGTCCTGCACCTCGCCCAGATGAGCCTCACGCTTAGCAGCGTACTGTGCCTCGAGCTTGTTTTTCAGCTCCGCCATACTCTCCGTGACGTCCACATTGCTTGTCTCCTCGTCCCGGATCGTCTTCTCCAGCAGCTCCTCGTACTCCGCCTCGAGTGCCGATAACCGCGTCTCAAGCTCGTCGCGCCTCCGCGCTGCTAGCTCGCCCTCCTCCTGCTTCTGACGGAGGCGGTCGACGGTATCGCGCACGAGCGCCTGGCCATCCGCAAGTTGCCGGCGGATAGAGGCGATATCCTCACTGGTGAGAGACAAAGGTGCATCATCCGCATCGAGCTTCGCCAGAAGAGCACGGAGCTGCTCGTCCTTCTCGCTGAAGGCACCCTGCGCATCGAACTGGGCCATCATAAGCGCCATCTTCTCCTGTTTCCTCCTCTCCTTGTCCTCTTGCGCCGCATCGGGCTTATTTGCCCTAAGCTGCTCAAGGGCCTTGCGCAGTTCCTCAAGTTCATTGCGCTGGTCCGCACCCTGCTCCTTGAGAATGTCGATGGTGATCTGACTCTCCTTCGCGTCGTAGCCGAGCTTCTCGGCTTGCAGGCGCAACTCGTTCAGTTGCGTGGAGAGCGCCTTATTCTCCTTAGACAGAGTCGCCTCTTGCTCCTTGAGGAACGCCAACTCGTCGCGCAGTTCGCCGGCAAGCTTCTCGGCGGCTTTGAGCAGAGTCTCGCGCTCGCCAAGCTGGTCGGACAGCTCGTTCTCGCGCTTAAGGAACTCTTCGCGCTCGTCCTTATCGAGGCCAACGACAGTCGGTGTAGCAGGTCGGCTGTCAAGTTCCTTGAGACCTTCGATAGCCGGATTGACAGGCGTTCCACTGCGAGTCGTAGCAGCCGAACTGGTCGCAGTGCTTGTGGCAGTGCTTGACGCCGGCGGCGCAGGCTTCTTCGGCTCAGTCGCACCACCCGCCTTCAACTTGGCCTCCGCATACTCGCCCGGCTCAACCTTACCGCCCGCGCGCCAAACCGCGAGTTCCGCCTCGAGCGCGTCGATCTTCTTCTGATACCCGGCGGCCGAGATCTGCGCTTTCTGGAGCAGGTTCTTGAGTTCGAGGGGGGATAGCTCTGCGTTGACGCGCGCGGTGTTCTTGATGGATTTGGCGCGGATACCGAAGCGGAGGGTGGAGAGCGTTTCGGCTTCGTTGTAGGAGGCGGGGGAGCAGTTGATGATGAGCGTGGTACGGGAGTTACCACCAAGGGACTCTTGGAGGATACGAGTGAGCTTCGAGTCACGGTACGGAATGTGTTTGGCCTATACAGCGTAAATCAACATGAAGTTAATAGTAGATATGACTAGGTCATACCTTCCCGTCCGTGAGCGCGTTAATGACCATGCCGAGGGCGGACAGCGACTTGTTGATCTTCTTCGCCTCCTCGAGCGTCTGACCTGACGCGCCGGTCTTGCCGACTTTCTCGGAACCGGCCAAATCGACGAGGTAGAGGTTTCCGGTCTTCTGTGCGCCCGTCTCGGTGTTGCGCTGGCTGATGGTGATGAGGAAGATGGAATGCGATCGTGAGGATTCGGCGTTCATGTCTGTAGTGCAGGAGGATGAACTCAATATATTGAAGGAAGAAAGCGAGATGGAGAATCGTACTTGTTGAGGTGACTACACGAGCGGCACCACCTTGACGCATGATCTCGTAGACCTCTTGTGCACTGCTCACGTAGTAGTCGGACAAGTTCTTCACGTAAACACCTTTGTTCTTCTCCTCGTGTACCTGCAAGTTGTCGTTTTGCGCTGAATACGACAGATATGGCCATCAGTGTTGCGTTGCATGGTGACTACGGGCGAGATGAGAACGTACGCTGGAGTAGATCGCGAATACGCTCGAGGTAGATCTCCATATATGAGACCTTGACGAAGTACTCGAGGTGTGCGTCCGACTCTACAATGGACTGGAAGACTTGTTCTGTGATACGCGGGATGACACCGGCCAGGTCAGGCGAGTCGATATCGGCACCCTGTATGATAATCTAGGTTTGCTTCCGTTCAAGCAGACGAACATGAACACGTACCATCATCGTGAAGGTCTTTCCACTACCAGTCTGTCCGTACGCAAACACAGTTCCATTATATCCATCGAGAACATCTGTGCCATCTATCAGTCTCTGCCACTCGTCATATACATCTCAAACTGACCCTTCACGATACTGTACGCGGTCGGATCAGTATACCGACTCTACTCATAGACACCGTGTTCACTCACTCCTTCACACCATAGTCAAACACCTCATGCTGCTTAGTGCCCATCGGGAAGACGCGGTCAAACTTGAAGCCATCGCGCTCGGGGCCCGAGCTGAGCTGGGCGGACTTGAGCTGCACGGTTGAGAGGTCGTCGCTGAAAGCGACGACGATCTCGCTGCCCTCGCGCTGCTCGATCGCATTTGGCGGGCGGAATCTACATATATCGGGTACGCATTGAGTAATATCCTACGTTAAGGCGGGAGGTGTGGATGCGCACCGACAGATGACCTTGATATTGTTGGAGGCCATTGCTCCGGGTATGTAGCGGGTATCGTCTAGAGCGTACTAAGATCGAGCGACGACGGGCGTGAGATCGTCGGTCGTGGATGGCAGTCCGAGACAAGGGCCGTCTAAAGGGTATTCGGCCACCGGGCGGACGGGCAGCACGTTGAAGGAGAACTGAAACTCTAGAAACGCGTCGCGATGCAGGCGCGCCCGCTCGCGTGTCGGCCGTCGATACCTCTCACGCTTCCATGTATATTGATCTACAGCGGTACCGAAGTTGCCTTCAACTGTATATTGTACAAGCACGTATGCATTTGAGCGTAAAGTAAGTACATTGCAAAGCAACACGGACAAAGTACGACTACGGAGCAAAGCGAAATAGTTCAGTACAGTGCACGAGGCAAAGACGCGACTGCGCGGCTGTAAGGCAGTGGCGTAGTGGCGGCATGCGAGAGCAGGGCTTGTAGCCTCAGCAGCAGTACCACTCAGAAGTTGGCAATATGAGGACCTATCGTGGCCACGAAGCTCTTCGAGCGATGCTCTGAAGTTTTGGCGGGCGTTTGAGTCTGCGTGTGTCATTTACTCATCGTCCGAGCCGAAGTCTACACCAGGTGAACGCCGAGCGGCTGGTCGTGCCCGGCTTGCCGATGCCTGAGCCGGTCGTTGCTCATATCGAGCATTCTTCTCCGCTTCATCTGCAGCATCCTGCCACTCCGCATAGATATCCACGGGTTCGGTCAAGTCTGCACGAGTACGCGCATCCTCGTCAACAGGAGTCGCCACAGATAAACGGGTACTGTGAACGTACGGTGGACTTTGCTCTGATAGCGCTGGTCGCACACTCTGCACGTCAGCTGTGCGATCCCCTCCTTCTTGTCTATCTTGACCGAGACGGCACTGTCATGATGGCAGAAAATACAGGTGAATTGAGTGTCTGCAGTGGCGCATAAGCAACGATAAGGACTGGGAGTGTTAGCGGTGAAAGATCATACCAAGCTGAGGCTTGATCTTTGGCTGTGCCGGCTTGCGCGAGGATTTTTTGCGCTTGCCCATCTCGACTGTACCAAGTCGTGGACAGAGTCGAAGTCAAGCGCAAGAGCGTCAAGACGCGCCAACGGCCCGAAGAGCCGGAAATGACGCGCACGCGAGCTGGTGCACGTGCAGTTCGACTTGAGTGGTTGAGCAGCGCGATTGATGCGACTGAATTCTGAGCCACACGCACCTTGAATCCCGACCGCGATAATGGCAAGCCGCCGCACAGCGTCCTCGACGCGCTCCCGCTCGGCAACGGGCAACGCCGGCTCGATGCCGCCACCGCCCGTCGCCGGTCCCTCCCGCCCACGTTCCGTCGCAGCCCGCGCACCGTCCTCATCAACCTCGACATCAACGACCTCTCGCTCGGCCGCACCAACACCCTCAATCCCAGATGTCCCCGCCCTCCCCGCCGGCATCCGCAACACCAAACCTGGCGAATCAGAGACAAACATCCAAGTCGTCCTCCGATGCCGCCGCCGGTCCGAGCGCGAGGTGGCCGACAACAGCCCGATCATCGTCAGCAGCGCCGGCGCCAAATCTGACTGTCTGACGATCGAGACCGCCGCGCCTAGCAGTACCCTTGGTGTCGTCAGTCTACCGCCGACTAGGACGTACCCGTTCGACATTGTGTTTGGGCCTGAGGCGGATCAGGCCATGGTTTTCGCGGATGTGGTTCAGCCGATGTTGGACGAGGTGTTGCAGGGATACAACTGCACACTATTTGCTTATGGACAGACTGGAACCGGAAAGACGTATGTACATGTCTACGCCCATAATATCTATGTACTGACAACGTATAGGCATACTATGCAAGGCGACTTGGGAACCACACCGCTCGGCAACCCGACCGCACAAGCCGGGATGATCCCCCGCGCGCTCTTCCGCCTCTTCAGCGCCCTCGACTCGTCAAAGTCAGACTACAGCGTCAAAGTCTCATATGTTGAGCTCTACAACGAAGAGCTCCGCGACCTCCTCGCACCCGACCTTCCTCCTCCGACCGAAGCCGCACAGCCGATGTCCAAGGGCGCCGCTGCGTCCAGTTCATCCAACCCTGCTCCTGTGGAACTCCGTATATTCGACGATGCAGCCAAGAAGGGCGTCGTCATTCAAGGTCTCGAAGAAGTCCCCGTCCGCTCTGCCTCAGACGCTCGCGCTCTGCTCGTCCGTGGCTCGCAACGCCGCCAGATCGCGGCGACGAAGTTCAACGACCACTCTTCGCGCTCGCATTCCATCTTTTCGATCACGGTGCACACCAAGGAGTCTGGTCCAGCAGGCGATGATCTTCTCCGGGTTGGCAAACTCAACCTCGTCGATCTCGCCGGAAGCGAGAACATCGGGCGAAGCGGGGCAGCAGACAAGAGGGCGAGGGAAGCAGGAATGATCAATCAGTCTCTGCTCACACTTGGTCGTGTCATCAATGCCCTCGTTGAGCGCGCTTCGCACGTGCCGTACCGTGAGAGTAAACTTACTCGGCTATTGCAAGACTCGCTGGGAGGACGGACCAAGACGTGCATTGTTGCAACTGTCTCGCCCGCCCGGTGTTGTGCCGAGGAGACGCTCAGTACGCTCGACTATGCATTACGCGCGAAGAGTATACGGAACAAGCCCGAACTCAATGCTCGGCTTGCGCGTAATGCTCTCCTTCGCGAGTACGTCGGCGAGATCGAGCGCCTTAAGGCGGACTTGCTTGCAGCGCGAGAAAAGAACGGCATCTTCTTTGCTGAAGAGACCTGGGCGACGATGTCAGGCGAGCACGAACGCGCCAAAGCAGAAGCTGCCGAAGCTCGTGCACTCGTTACTGGGCTTGAAGGACAGCTCAAAGCCACTCGTGAAGAGTTCGAGGAGAGCATGGCCTTGCTGACGAGGAGAGATGGCGAGTTGAAAGAGACGAAGGAGAAGCTCGAAACTACGGTGGGGACATTGGAGGTTAAGGAGAGGGAGCTGGGGAAGACGAAGGAGAAGCTTGAGGACGAGGTCGTCGTCAGACGGGCGTACCAGGAGAACGAGGCTATCTTGGATGAGGTCGCGAGAGGGCTGAAGAAGACCGTCCATGAAAGCGTCGCGGAAGTCGAGGCGCTACACGCTAAGCTTGGTCAGTCCACCGTGCTTTCTTCAAGTAAGCATTGATATTGATGTGATACTGTAGCGCGCAAGACCTCCGTTCTTGGTGCAAACGCGACCACCGTCCTCTCCAACTCTCGCACAATCTCAACGCACAGCTCCAAACTCACCACCGACCTGGACCTGCACACCAAGAACCTCTCATCCGCCCTACTCGGACTTCGTAACGCCGCCGAGGCGCACCAGGCTTCTTCGCTCGAAAGCCTGGAAGCTGCCGGTGGCAAGCTCAGCGAACAGCTTGCCCGCATGCAAGATGCGCTCAACAACATCCAGGCCCGCGATGATACCGGGAGCGAGGCAATCGCTGACGCTCAGCGCGCCGTCAAGGATGCGATCGAGGGTTCAAGAGCGGGCTTCGCTGCTTGGAGTGAGAAGTTCAAGCTTAGCAGCAGCGCGATGTACACCGAGATCGAGAAGGCCTCTCTCACGGGATACACGACTGTAAGCGCCCTTCACTTCTCACGGTTTTCTGTCGTATACTGACAATACCCTTGCAGATGGACAAGGCCATCAAAGCGATGTCTCTCCTCGTCGAGAACGTCGTCCGCGAAGCGCAAGATCACATCGCATCAGAACGAGCCTCCCTGCTCGAAGCCAAATCCCTCTCCGAGACGACCTCCGCAAACGAGATAACACGTCTGCGCGAGCAGAACACAGCCTTGCTTCGCCTTGTCGAGATGCAGAAGCGCGAAGGCGCCAAGTCAAGAGACGAGCTCGTCAAGAGCATCGAGGCGCAGATCAAGGGCGCCTACGCCGATGGAGAAAGGAGACTCGCGGAGCGCGTCGCGGATTTGACGGAGGGCAATGATAAGGCGCGCGATGCGCTCGATGCGTTCAAGGGCGAGATGGGGGCGAAGGTGGATGCGAGTGTCGAGAGAGGGATGCTGTGGGCAGGCGCGTTGGAGAAGAAGTCGGGCGAGAATAAGAGGTTGCGGGATGGGTCTCTCAAGGTTAGTTTCCCGCTATTCTTGTCCCTCCGGGTTGGTGTTGACGTCTTCCTGTAGTCCTGCGCCTCAGTTAACAACACCCTCCGGAGCCACTTCGAGGACGTTCAGACTTCGACGACCAAGGCAATCGCGTCCTACTCGACTGAGGTCACCAAGCAGGGCCAAGTCTTAACGGCATCGACAAGTGATGCCTTCGAGCGCTATGGACGCGCGAAGAAGGCACGTCTGGATGCGACGGGCGCTATGGCCACCGACGTACAGAGCGGGATGCGTACCCAGCAGCGGGCCATTGCCGGCATGCAGCGCTCGATCGAGTCGCACAGCGGCAAAGTCATCAGCGAAACGAGCAAGCTTTCCGAAGCACACCGGGCATTCCACAGCAACGCCCATGAGCGTCTTGCGTCCGTTTCCGCTTCCGCCTCAACCCTCCAGGCAGACGGTGCTCGTGAAGACCTACCTACGGGTCGTACACCACAACGACGGACGCACCACTTCGTCGACACCTGGGAGCTCACGCGTAGCCGTGAAGCGCTGCTTCGCGACCGCGACCGCGCACGCAGTCTGCCGCCCGCAGGTCTCAGCACAGGCGGCCTTCTCTCGATGCCTTCTACGCCCACGGGTTCAGATGCAGGTTTCGTGGACGAACCCGAGCACCAAAGCGACCTTGATGTTGGCGACGATACAGTGCGCATGAGCCTCGCCGAGTCCGAAGCCGAAGTCGAAAGCACACCCGTGCCGCAGCGCACGCGCCGAAGCACGCGTTCGCGCCGCGCCGCGGAGCCCGAATCCCAATCCGAGAGCGAAGTCGAGATGTACAACGAGCCGTCCGCGTTGAGTTCATCTGCGTCGTCGGTGGGCGCGACGCCCCTACCACATCCCGTACCTGCGATCCCACAGTTCGCGGCGAAGCACGTTCGCCAGGCGTCTTACTCGAAGGACGGAACGGGAATGAAGTCTGGGCTTCCGAAGGCGGCTCCCCGGGAACGGTTGAGGGAGAAGAGCACGAACGTGATGGTTCGCGAGCGGGTCGTTCGTTAGGTATTGTCTCGGATTGCGGGGTTCTTCGGTTATCGGGTGCATGATACGGCCGCGGTTCATTCCATTCCATTTGTTTTTATGCACATCGCTATCGCTATGAGCAGGGCTCCGTCGCACAGCAGTATGAATTATGTTTTGTGTATATGTAGTAGTAGTAGCAGGATAAGGTTTGAATATGTATATGCATAGGGATCTCGAGGTTGCACGTTCATGTGAAGATGAAGTGGCGCGGGAGAGTTGCTGTGGCAGTCACACTCAGGGGCGAATCAACAAAGGGGAACCGGCGATAGCGCACAGCAGGTCTCTAGGCGCCTCGCCGCTAGTGGGCCGCTACAACGCGACTTGGCACCAACCCCCATCCCTCTACTCTCTCTTCCTGCCACTCTACGCTATATCCGAATGAAGTACATAGAGATACCAGAGCTGACGCGGCTGGCGATGGCGCTGAACCACGACGGGCCCGAGTGCAGCGTTCACACGCGGCTGGAGGCGTACAGCTGCAAGAGCGTCAAGCGGGATAAGCGCCTGTTCCGCACGCTCGAGAACGCGTACGAGTCGGACGTGTCCGTGTCCCCCTCCATGGCCGCCCTCGCGATGGACGAGTCGACGCCGTTCGGGCCGTTCGACCAGCAGTCGTCCCGCAAGACGCTCTTCCTCCTCATCTCCCTCCTCAACGTCGCTTTCCCCGACCACGACTTTTCCGACCTCAAGCCCGCGCATTTCAACCGCGAGACTTCGGGTGCACAGGTGCTCAACGCGCTCAGCACTACGCTGGTTGCACCTCAACGGGCCGGCCTCCGCGCACCGCGCACATATTCCTCCTACCCGCCCGCATCCAACGACTTCTTCCCGAGCTCGCTACCCACGTCCTCCTCTCCGCCTCAACCCGCACCAAGTCCCTTCGCACCCCCACCAATAATGGCCGGCACGCACCCCTCGTTATACAAGGTTCTTGACGACGTCATCGGTCTCGGCGAATGCGATGTATACAGCTACGAGCCAGACTTGGAAGCAGACCCTCACGCGGCGGACTTCGACGACGACTCGGACGACGATACGAGTTCATCGAGTGGCGACGATTCACCAGAGGAAACTTTTGCCTTCGACGACTACGACGTCGACCTTCCGAGCTCGCGCAAGAGCACGTTGAAAGACGAACATGAGCCCACACGGAGACGCGGAAGTCTCTTATGGAGCTCCCATTGGTTCTTCCTCAACCGCAAGCTCAAGCGGATACTCTTCGTCTCCATCCATGCTCGCTCGCGCGGAGCGGCGAGATGGGCGGACAGCGACGAGGACAGTCTCGCGTACGGGAGCATTGAGAAGCCTGCGACGATCTCGGGTGAACGATTCTTGGGCTGGGAAGGTGCCGTTGGTGCCGGCGCGAGAGCGATGGGGATCATTAGCGCGTCTGTTTAGAGGATACGGTTAGTTCGGCTTGGGCCTTCCGCGAAGGAATTGTGGCGCATCGGCTGACCTCGACCGAATAGGAACAGGCGCGACTTCGGGCCCAACACCTTCCTCTTCTACCTTCACACGGACATCCTTCTTGTCGATGTTGCCGTCAGGGCACATTGGATACCCTGTACGACTATGATGGACTCGCGCTTTGACGATGTGCGCTCTGTACTTGTATCGTCAGCTCGATCGTCGCCGCTGGCGGCGTGAGCGTCCTCCCTACCTTATGGTTCCACTCTTATTCTCCCCGGTCTCTGTCCTGTCTTCCTGGTTTCCCCTCTCGTCTGTATGTCCCAGCCTGCTCCTATCACATCAATCCCCAACCCCTAGTGTCTCCATCCACGGCTTCCTCCCGTCTCCTCCCCCTATGTCCATGCCTCCACCCCCCAAACCATCTCTCTACCTCAGATTCGCCTAGCCTCAGACCGTCCTATGTCCACCGTTGTATGCTCGTATATTGTCATGTACGAAATGTAGTCGTGGACGTTGGCCTGGACCTATTTATCCCGTACAAACTCCCGCATTGTGTCGAAGGTCTGCCCTCGTACGAGATGACGAAAGAGGTGTGCGCGAATAGCCGTAGTGGCGCTATCGAGGGCATATGGTGAAGTGGCTGCCAGTAGTTGGCCGGTAGGGGAGGAAGCAAGTGAGCAGGTGCAGAGCATATACGTAGGTCTAGTCATCCTAGGGCTTGACTCGATGTGATGATCATCTGGCCGGAGAGCTGTGCGCCATCAGATGAGCCTCGCCTCCTACACGGTATGAGTGGTGCGGGAGCACTCACAGTATGCTGGCCCGCCTACGCGCGCGTCAGTCCGCGGGATCGAGAACTACCTGGCCCGAGGGTGAGCCAGGACGAAAGCCGGATGACACCAGGCACATTCGATCCACCCAGTGCAGGCCGCCAACGATAGTTGCATTGAATGTGATGGTGAACGTCGAGTAAAGAGGCCTGAATGAGATCGTCGCCGCCCCTGCGGAGTGGAGGGTCGACGCATTTTTTCTGGGTTTCTGATCGGTACGTCGAACATCGATGAGATCGCATGTGACCGCGTTCTGCGCACAGAACGCGACGCGACGCGTCAAACGCGCTCCTTGTGCGTCGTACACTCCTGAAATAACATGACATGGTATATACGATGGTATAGGTCAGGAGTAGTGTAGCTAGACATGAGGAAAAGCGATGATGGACGCAGAAAATCCTGGATAGAATGTTCTAAAGGAGCCCGAGTCATCCCCGAAGCGATACTTAGTTCGGGAGCTTCGCAGGCGGCGGCTTGAGAGCAGCGTTGTCCTCGGTTGCATAGTGCCCGTAGCAGCTCATCATGGTCCCCAGGCCCTGATGACACTCGACGTGGAACTCTCCAAACGGATACTTCTCGCCGTCAATGGACAGGAAGCCCTTTTTCTGAAGCGGCTTGCAGCGGTACGCGTAGGCCTTGTAGTACAAGTTCTGAGTGAGACTATGAGTTAATGTGCAGTGCAGAGAATATGGAGAGAGTGCGTACAGATTTGCGCCAAAAGCCGATGCCGTTCTCCGCGCCATCAAAGGCGGATAACATGTCTCCGCGCGATACGCTGCGTTGGAGGGTCAGTTCCACCGCGCCATCGTTCGGCATCCCAGCGGGAAACTGCATCAAATCCCTATCACACTTGACTTTAGTCACGGCCGCGCATTTGTACACGAATAAGACAATGTACCTGCTAACATACGCGCACTTCCCTCCGTACAAGAAGTTGAACGACTCGTCGAGCTTGATCCAATCCGATGCATCGTCGTCGGCATATCGCAGTGGCGGCAACTCGTCGGGTAAAGATTCGTTCGGGTCGATGAAGCGCGTCTCGAGCGGTCTCTCAAGGTCGGCCCGCAAAGCATCGCTCATCTTCTGCTTGTCCGACTCCATAGCCTTGATTGAGATTTGGTACGGGTACGATTTGCGTGTTACGACTAGGATGCGAATCAGCTCCTGCACACGCGCGCCATTCTGAGATGAATGAACGTACCGCCGCGGAGGTAACCATACACGAAACGGTTGCTGCCGAGAATCCGCAAGTGTTCCGTCCCCAGGTCAAGGTCGGCCATAAGACCTAAGCATTGTGACATGTACGAGAATGTTCGCTTGCCGTCCTGCACGATCGAACAGACGTCCACAGCCATTGGACGACCCTTGATGGCATTCAACGTTGCGGCGACGACATTGTTGCCTTCCTTGTGACACACATATAAGCCTACAGAACGCGCCAGTGTAAGCATTTGTCGAGCGCACCTTCAACCCCAAGAGGTTCAGACTGAGCCCGTTACCGGACCCTGCTGGTATGGGTGCAATAGGCACTCGGAATGCCTTGCGTGGCGTCTCGTGCTTCGCCATGCCGTTGTACAGCTCATGCACGATACCGTCGCCTGAGATGGAAATGATGCAGTCGTAGTCGTCCACCGCGAGCTCCTCGCCAATCTTGACAGCATGTTGGTAGTACTCTGTGACTGGGTTGTCTAAGGAGCGTCGGTACAACATATAGCAATGAACATACAGATAGCTTTGTATGTGCACCGTGCGGCGGAGAGAATGGGTTCAACCTTCTTCTTGTAGATTGCAGCGGCCTTACCCTGCATAAAGTAACCTGCATATGAGCATGTGGCGCTTCGCTGTCAGGCAAAACGAGTACGTACCGGCCCGCCATGGGGGTTCACAATAACCAAGAATCGCCTTTGGGGCTTAGCGCCTGCATATCGTTTAGTGATACCACCCACTCGCTCCGGCAAGGTGATAGACATACCGGGCTCGGCATAAGCCGCCGTCATAAGTTCCTCTGCCCACTTCCCTGCATCCGCCCCGCCACCTTCCTTGACCTTCCCATCAATCTTGACCAGCCCCTTCTTGTCCACGACAAGCGCGACCTCGAGCGACTCGCCGGCCACGCTAGCCCACAGCACGCGCTTCAAGGGTACCTTCCACGCGGGGTGCTTCGGCTTGGTATTCGGCTTGCCTGTGGGCGGTCGCACGTCGAGGTGTGTACCGCTACGTACGAGGGTCGCGCCAGAGGAGAGTTGGAGAGGGAATTCCTCCATGACGAGCATACGCGTGAGAGGAGCTTGGAGGGAATGGCTTTGAACTTGCTCAACTCGCTCGGAATCCCGATGTGACGCTCGACGCGTCGCGTCACAGCGACGGTACAACACGCAGCATTCTCCGGGCGCGCGTCGTACGAGTGCATTTGACTTTCTACAGCAGTCTCATGGGTATATTGTGACTAACAGAAGGAATCTACTGGGTGTCTATGCATGGTCCATGGTGGCAATTCTCAATCCGGATAACAGACAATGACATCTACTCGGCCAACACTCGGAGCTCGCGGGATGAGGGAAGACAGATACTATACGCACGGGCTTAATTTACAGTAAGGTCGTCGATAGGCCTGTGATAGAGTTAGACACTACGTTATATTCGACCATTTCTATACGAAGTCTTCCCGTACCTTGAACACTGTGCGGTTGCACCTGCAGCAGCGGCATGATTCGGCCTCTCGAGACGAAGATCACCCCACAGAGCACTACGTCGCCGATACCAATTTGCCCCGGTCTTGTTCCAACTGTGTGGTTTCCTTCTGAGGGAAGCACAGTATCCATCTTTCACCGACGGTCAATACGAATTCACATTACCAGGGCGCAAAAGGCTCGTACGATTTCTAGTATGTATGCGCGCACTCTACCCGCCACGAGTGCTGCCAGCTTGGCAGAAGGGATGTACGGAAGGATCCCCGTCTGCAAACGCGGCAGCTGTATCTGAGAATTCTTTTGGGGATAACCGACGAGCTGCGGCACACAAGATCCGTCGTAAGCCTCTATAAACTGGACCAGCCTGTCGTAGAATTGCTTACATGGGTAACGACCTTCAGAGATGTTGCGCGGATGCGAGTGGGGCTGTCCATTATGGCATTGTCGATTCCCTCTTCGGTGATGGGAACCCCGACGCCACCATCGCGCCGCATAAAAAATAGCGGAAGCATATCGGTCTTCTCGAGTTCCCTTTCGCATCGTCTCCACCCGCTGACAGCGTATGGGAATTGATAATGTTGACGAATGACGAGGCGAGGGTCCGCGACGCTCATGTCGACATCGCAGATGGGTAAAAGAGTTTGACGGCCCTGGCTCAGCGCGAATAAGACCTCACGTGTGTCAGCTCCGTCGAGCTCGAGCTTGTCGTAGGCAGGGAAGGAGACGAAGGTCGAGGAGGTGGGAAATCTGGATGTCCTGCCGTATGACGAGGTCAGGAACTGATAGAAGCGGACGACGTCGTCGGGCTCCCACTGGCATGCCCTGCGAGCGTGCCAATATGCTCGGATGATGACAACGTCAGATCCGAAAGAATGACGGAGGAGGGTGTCTGCGTGCTGCTCGCGAAGGAAGTTGAGAATAGTCGGCGGGGCGCGCAAAAGCTGGGAAGTGACTGAAGATCGCGACTCGTGAGCCATGCGGAGGATGGCACCAAAAGTAGACACTTACGCCTTTTATTTAAGGCGAGGAATGCAGATCGAAGAAGTAGTCCAAATATCCTCAGGCTGTACGACGCCGTTGTATGAATAGTGAACTAGGGATGTATACCGGCTTTTCCGGACGATGTAAGATGAAGACAGAATATGAGGATCTGCGGAAAAGACTCCTCGGTTGGGGTGAAAATTCTGCGTGGACGGGCGAGGTTTTAATCAGTAATTCATAGGAATTTAACACTGGGCACGTACCACGCTATGTCTTCGGCGCGAGCGCACGCTCGCTATGTCGATGAGCAGTACTGATTTACGAGACAAAGAGACGCGGGACATGCAACTGACTCATGCGACATGGGTTAGCATCGCCTCCTTGCGGTACACAGTGTAGCAATAAGGCAACAGACAGCTGTCTAATGCTCGAATTACCCTGTTGCGGTATTAGTAATCGATGGAAGGATAGGAATGTGATTGAAGTACGTACGGTTTACGCTGCCCTGATGGACATCGCGCCTGAAACACCGATCCTTGCGAAAAGCTCGCAGTTACCTTCAATGCGCCGCCATTTTGCACGTTCGATGAGAACAATTCGATGGAAGGTCTCGCGCTCACTTGACAAGTGCTTACAGACCTTATGCAGCCATCCAGCCGCGAGCTCCTGGCCATCGGAGCCCACACTCGTATCCGACAGTATCTGAAGGCGCTCAGAGCGTCCAGCCTCGTTGCTGTTCTCGGGGATATCGGAGTCCCGGCGTGCGCTCCTGATTGCTGCGACCCAGCGTCTTCTTGGCACACTTGTTGAATAAAGTCTTCTTTGCTAAGAGATCCGGGCCAAGGTAGAAAAACGAGCGAGTTGTGAGTTAGATGATCTGCGACAGGGCTCAGGTGGGGTAGATGCCGCAGCTGAACCGGAGCCGAGCACGAACTAATGCGACGGATCGAAGGGCGATGTCTGTGGATGAAGATCTGTAGTCCCTGATGAGTTGAATGTGAATGCGGCAGTGGGTCTCGGGGAAGGCACGGACCTCTCTTTGCAGTATCGGCCAACAGCGGAGCAGCCGAACATCTGGATCCATTCCGGCGTACGCGGATGAAGGCAGTGATAATAAGGGAATGCATGCTCACGGTTCAAGGCTCCGAAACGCGCTTTCGATTTGGGACCGTGCGCATCCGCTCGCAGTGGGAATACACGTGTTGAAGAAATGTACAGCAAGCGGGAAAGCTCTTCGATCGGCTACCTCGTCCGCTTCGCATACTTGTTGTCAACCTTGAGACGCAGTTCTATGATGAACCTTTCCAAACGGGCTGATCTCGTACATATATAGTCCCTGAAGAGCAGGTCGTACAAAAAGAAGGCTAGAGAAGCTCTCACACCATCTCATCGCGCAGGATGAGTGACGCAATACGTACTGCTAGGGGTGGTCAATGGTGGGCCGATTGACTGCCGTGCAAGACGTATATTGGGATGCATCCCTGAAGGCATGTTATCAGCTCGAGTATCGCATCAGACGCGGCGATACTCACGCTTTATTGAATGGCTAGGGGGAGTTGGAATGCCGGAACAGACCCAGTACCCTTGGTGTCCGGCCGCTTTCGGCGCTCCAACGTTTTTCCCCAATAGAATAAGTAGGCTGTGATCACGTTTGAATGCGAATGGCACTATCTGGAGTATTCGTCAGCTACGTCCTATATTCGCTAGCCGTCTCCGGTGAAGAAATGTGAGGGGCCGTCGTTAAACTACTGATACTCTGCACCAGTGACCCCGGTGTGGGTGCGCCCGGCGTGAAGTTATACCCACGAATTTATGAGAAAGAAAGCTACCAGCAGGCACGCATAAACAGGATATGTGACGCAGCCATCTTTCATGTTCGGCTCACCAGTCACAGTGTCGCTTCGACATGTTGGGTGTCAAGGCAAGAGTCAAATGCGCTCAAGTTCGAGTTCGCGCTTGGTTCGCGGCCGGGTCAGGACCGCCAGGCCCCATCAGATTTACCATGTGGCCAGCACGCGACCCCCAACCAAGCCGTTCACGCATTGAGCCTGTGGACTCAACGTCTATGTAACGGGCGTACGTTTTCCTACCATCACAAGCCGTCTTGCATATGCATAGTCTAGCTTGAGATGCGCCATGTGGATCTACATCATCGACGCAGTGCGAATTCCCGTGGTCTTGACTTCGACGCGTCGACGCGTTTTTTGAAGTCACGACCACCGCGTCCTCCACACCAAGAAGTTGGAAATCCGAGATAGAACTTCAGAGTCACCCATCTTTCCCTCATTGTGGACGCCGTGGCCTCTCTGCTCTTACCACGACTCTGTCGCCCAACTGGGCTTGTAATATATTCTCGCCTCACTCGCCCACCAAAAATTCGCCTCCGCACGATCATGGCCAGTTCTAGCACTGCACCTCTGGAGCCCACACCCGTACCTGCGACGCCTGAAGTCGTCGTACCGGAGGGCTTCAAACTCTATACCGAGAACAGCGCCAAACTACTTCTTCCCGACACCGCCGACGCATTCTTGAATCCGGTGCAAGAGTTCAACCGTGATCTGTCCGTAGCCGTCATCACTGCGTTCGCAGAGGCACGAGCGCGAGACCGCGAGCGAGCATTCATCGCAAAGCAGGCAAAGCGCGCCAGCCGAGGAGAGCCAAAGAAGAAGAAGGCTAAGCTCGAGGGTGAAACCGAGAAGGCAGGAGCCGTAGCGGCGGAAACTGGCGAAACGTATGGCTGTTCATTATGTGTGGCACCGGTCGCGGCTGACATCGAATAGCGCAGTGGAGGACGTGACGATGGGCGCAGCACCGAACACAGATGCGTCAAAGCCTGATGCTGCTAAGGATGGCGTATTCGTGAAACCCAAGATTGTCATTCTAGAAGCGCTCTCTGCGACCGGCCTTCGCTCCATACGCTATGCACAGGAGATCCCACTCGTCAAGTGCGTCGGATTGTGCTTTAACTCTTATGCAACATGTCTCATGCATACATCGTACAGACATGTCATCGCGAACGACCTTGCAGACCAGGCTATCGAAGCTATGAAACGCAATATTGAGCTGAATGGTCTGGCACCTGAACCGGACGCGTCTGAACATGCGCAGGGGAAAGTGCGCGTCAATCACGGTGATGCTCGGTAAGTCCACCCATAATCTGGCTTCCCGCTATGCTAATCTCGCGTAGAGCCCTCATGTATTCACATATGGACGACAACCGTGTCGATGTCGTTGACCTCGATCCGTACGGTACTGCGGCGCCATTCATCGACGCTGCAGTACAGTGTGTCAACGAGGGCGGACTTCTCTGCGTTACTTGCACAGATGCGTCCGTCTTCGCGACCAACAACTATCCCGAAAAATGGTATGTACGCGTATGACTCGCCATTTGCTGCGTCTCTCAACTCCATGATAGCTACGCGAACTACGGCGGTGTGCCTGTTAAAGCAGAATACAATCACGAAGCTGTGAGTCCTCGCATACATGATTATGCGCAAACATTGATCCCGATGATAGGGCCTGAGACTCATCTTGCATTCGCTCTCTGTTACCGCGGCAAGATATGGACGTTACATTGAGCCTCTATTGTCACTCAGCATCGACTTCTACGCCCGCGTATTCGTTCGGGTGTACACCGCACCCGTACAAGTGAAGCGTGCCATAACGTGTGTATCATCCGTCTATTGCTCAAGGACACCCCCTGACGATGGCACAGGAAGACGAGCACATTCTACGTCTGCACCTTCTGTCAATCACCTCATGAACAACCTCTTGGGCGTGCGGTCGAGAAGAAAAACGAGCGCTCAGGAAATGTGAACGTCCTTTTCAAAACACAAGCCGGCCCTCTTGTAGACGGAAACAAGTGTCCTGAGTGTGAGCAGACGATGCATGTTGCAGGGCCGATGTGGAATGCGTCCCTACACAAACCCGAGTTTGTCGATGAAGTGCTCAAGCACGTTGACGTAAACGAGGGGAAGTACGGTACTGCGCCACGCATGAAGGGAATGCTCACTGTCGCTAAAGAGGTTTGTCACGTCTACGCGTCGCGTGGTTGTAGCCGGGATTGACCGCGATCATCAGGAGCTCAACGTGCCCTTCTACTTCACTCCGAGCACGATCGCTGGTCTATTCCACTCAACCTGCCCGTCACTCGCGAGCGTCGCCAGCGCTTTGTTGCACGCAGGTCACAAAATCAGCCGCTCACACGCGTGCCCTGGTAGCTTGAAGACCGATGCGACGCGAAGGCAAATCCACGATGTTTTCCGGTCGTGGATCAAAACGAACCCCGTACGGATGGACAAAGTCGCAGAGCTGTCGCCCTCGCGCGTGCTTCTCGCGAAGGAAGCACAGTGCGTACTCTCCTTTCTGAAAGGCTACGTCATGTGCTAACGCCGATAACCACGTAGGCAAGAGGCGAACTTCGAAAAGCATCCGGAAAGCCCATTGCCGGGGTGGAAGGTCAAGCTTGTCCGATACCAAACCAACCCGACGCCCAACTGGGGACCTGGAAGTAAGGCACCGGAAGGCAAGAAACGGAAACGGGGTGGCGAGGGTAACGAGAAGTGAAAGGCTGTCAATATATGCGTCACCTGAACACGAATCCTTGCGAGGATACCCAGGGTTTAGAGCCTCCATAGTGGAACGAAGACATCGCTTGCGAGCAGACTTCGTCTTTCAGTCCGTATCTCGCTCTCGCGCATATTCATCCGGCAGTTCGCGAAGCCTTGCTTGGGATTTGCCCGGGCATTGTCGTCATACTCTCTCGCGTCCATCCACTACACTTTGTCACCCGTGATATACGATGAGATGGGTACGTTGCTTTGATGTGACCAGGTTGCTGTCTATGCATCGCCGGCTTGCGTGGCCTAATATACTAGGCGCGATTCGGGTTGCGAACCCTCATACGCCACATGCGCGTGTGTGTACCCGGGCAGTGTCGCTTCTGAATCTGACTGCCTACCTTCCCTGTGTTCCTGCAAGCTCTATACGATGCTCAGTCTGCGGTGACACTGTTCACCCTCTGAGTGTCTATAAAACACTGACAGTGCTGACGCATAGATCAGGCAGAACATCCTCTCTTCGACTGTTATTTTATCTCCAAGGCAGACATGCTCAGCAATTTCGTTGTCCTTGCTGCTGTTGCTTTCGGGTCCGCAGCGGCTATCCCGGCCTCGGACAACACACCGCCTCTCGTGTGCAACACGGCGGACCGGTTCTGTTGCGATCAATTCATTCAGCCCAATGTGCGTCACTGTCAAACCAACCTCCCGCTCGAGTTTGTATGCATATCTGACGACGCCTGAAGGCTATCACTCCGGCAACGACCGCAGAGCTTGTATTGCTCGGCGTCGATCCCGCCACCCTTACTGCGCCAATTGGGCTCGGATGTGACTCCACTACGTTCATTGGGGGCTTCAGTTGCGAGACCACGAACGCTTGTTGCACGGGTCGCGATATCGTGAGTCCCTCGCTCGATCGAGCATCTGTTTAGCCGCTGATCTCCTCCTTTTCGTCAAGCTGGGTGGTACGGTGGTCCTCGACTGCTCCGACGCTGCATTCTAATCTCAGAGGAAATCTCTAACATCATGTAATGCCCCTCGTGTAGATGAGTATCAGCCGGGTGCACATCTACTGAACGAATGCTTGCTGCATTGCGGTGAGGTTGATGCTCGAGCCTAATGCCGTGCGCGTATTGAGGCATCGTGCGACACCGCTGTCGGCGTCCCCATTATGCTAGTTGAGATCCAGATGACCGCTGCCTTGCTACTGGATCGGCCTTTTGACTGTACCACATGCATGTGTATGTGTCAAATAGCCGCCACCAGGGAGATCGCTCGCTTTCACTCGACGCTACTCTTCCTCTTCTTTCTTTCCCGATGACGCATGCCAGTTGGCAGATGCAGGTCATATAAGGCTCACGCGCTGAAGTAGCCGTCCGACTAATCATTGGACTAACTCACCAAACCCATCGAATCATCGAAATGCATAGCCGTTTCCTCGCTATCTATGCTCTCGTGGCCGGGTTAGCAATAGCAACCCCAACGACCCCAACATCGGACAACATTCCACCTCTCCTCTGCGGTTCAGGCGACCTCTTCTGTTGCAGCCAGTTCGTTGAACTCGGTGTATGTTACTGATCCAATCTTTGCCTCTGCCATGACCCATGAATCTATCTAGAACATATCTCCAGCGATCAACGCCATACTCGAGTTGCTCGGTATCGACTTGGACAACATCGTCTCACCGTTTGGCTTCGAGTGTTCGTCGGAGAATCTCCTCACCGCCATCGGCTGCAAAGGGACGAATGCATGTTGCTCGGGAACCAACTTCGTGAGTCCTTTAGGCGTCATTTGCTCAAGCTTCAGTACTAGTAGTCTCATGCAACAACTGTAGGCTGGTCAGATCATACTTGACTGCTCTGATGGGTTGCTCTGAGCATAGGGCGGTGCAAGGGATGTGGGACTCGATGTATCATTTGACGTATCATGGACAGACAACAGGATGTTGCGTGTATCTTCTTGTTCACGGACTTCCGCGGCCCGTGCGGCCCAGTCGATGATCTATCCGATAACTCAGTATTCATGGCCGCACTCGACCGGTAAGTTCACCGTGCCTTCATTATGCGAGAGACAATCATGTGGCAGTACGATTCTTTGAATCTGGCCGCCGACTTCATTCCCATTGCGCTAGTCACGATGTAGGTGATCCCTGCCTCGCCACCAGGCTAGAACCGAGTAGAAGATGTGCCGTGAGTATGTAGACGGCCCAAGACCGTTGACGCTTGTATTTTGTGCCGTCGGCTAGCCATGCTTTTCGATGTAACGCAGAAACAGCAGCGTTGGTACCTCAGCCAACTGATATAAAGAGTCAGCAGTATCGTCAGATTGAAGCTGGGGAACTTGACCGGTTGGCAGTCCTGGCAGCCTTCCTCCTCTTAAGGCCACTGAGCATGCTTCCTTGTATCTTCACGATTGTCACCGCTTTGGCCGCTGGGCTCGTCGCAGCGGCTCCCGCCTCGGATAACGTCCCACCACTCTTATGCAACCCGGACAACTTGTACTGCTGCAGCGAGTTTGTGGACGTCGGCGTACGTCATGTCGCCGATTCTGGTGTGCAGCCATCATGCTGACTGGTCTGCGCTTGAAGGATATCACCCCGGCGATTGACGCATTGCTCTTACTACTGGGGGTCGACCCGGACAGCATCGTCGCTCCGATCGGGCTCACGTGTAGCACTGAGACGGTCATTGAAGGTCTTGCCTGTCAGGGAACCAATGCGTGCTGCGGTGGCGACAATATTGTGCGTCTCTCGGATTCACTAGACAATGAGGGTCGTACTTCAGCTCACACCCACGCCCATAGCTCGGACAAGTCGTGCTTGATTGCTCGGATGGGTTGGTCTAAGCAATACACAGACATTCTGATACGATGTACCACATCGTGAGCGAGTAAAAGGCCAGATTGTGCAATTCATCAAAATATATCTTAGCGAGACTCTCATGACACGCCGTGTCGTGCCTGTGTATCGTGTCGTAGTTGTCAAGTAGAGCGCAACGCAGGGGAGCCATTAGTGCTTTGTAATGTGTAGTGCCAATTGTAAGCTGAAGACGAATGATATTGACTGGAAGAGGGCGAGATGATGAGGGCAGGAGTCAAGCGGCGTGGCGGATTTACGCCGCGACGCGTCGCGCAGGTTCGCGCGACTTCCTTGCCGCGAACCACCATCTGCATACACTCCTCTCTTGTGGCACATTGCTCTACTCGATACTCACCATACTTGGGCCACAAGACCTAGCATTATGTCATACCAATACCAACATGGCCAACCCACGACTGGGACATACGCGTACGGTTCTCAGCAATACTATCCTCAAAACGGGCAATATGGTTACGGCGCCGCATACGCTTCGAACCCCCAACAATACGCCGCATGGCAATCCTACTATAACCAGTACTACGCCCAACAAGCGAAGCAGAACGCAGCCGCCGGTCTCACTGGTGCGACGGGATCGACAGCCGCAGCTGGATCGACGACTCCTGCAGCTGCATCATCTTCCACGACCGCCGCCGCGTCCACGGCAGCTGCAAGTACTGCTCAGAGGGGATCTTTCTCGGCGTACACTCCGACTTATGCGAGAGATACTGTTGCCGCTGCAGCGACTGGAGGTGCCACTGGGAAGGCGGCGAAGAAGCAGGCGCAGTATAAGGGATTGTTTGCTAAAGAGTGTACGTGTTGCGTTCGAATAGGTATGATGAAACAATGGAACTGATCAATAACTGATAGTGCGGAGTTTGATGTACGGTTTCGGTGACGATCGCAACCCCGCTAGCGATACTGTGAACGTCATGGAGGAAATCCTAGTCGAGTATATTACCGACATCGTGAGTGGTTATGCTCACAGCTCGTCTCCATCATTGCTGATTCTCGATGGCAGTGCCAGGTCGCGCTTGCACCAACGAAGAAGACACGTCTCGCCGTTGATGACTTCCGCCGCGCTTTGTCTCGACCAGCGGACTCGAAGAAGTTCGCACGTATGGAGGAGCTGCTGTTCATGCAGGAAGACATCAAGCGTGCGCGTGCCATGTTCAACGAGAACGAGGGCACGACGGCAGCAGGGGCCCTGCAATGAGTGTCGAGCCCATGGACTTTGCGGATATCCTGCGCCCGGTGTATATTATACAGTACTGTACAGTAGTAGATAGCTTTACTCTTCCATAGCCTCGTCTTGCTCTGCATTTTCTGCTTCGGCTGATTTGCCTCTGTTTTGGACACCTGCATGCAATAGGTTATAAGGAATGCTGGTAGATTCTATGGCGCATGCATACCTCCGCTTTCTGCTAATGGTTTTGCGTACTCCTTGAGCCACTCTTCAGACTCCCATACTGCGCGATGGATGAGTATAAGCTTGAATAAACGTAGCAGTCAATAGGCATACCTGCGCGGTTCCCTTGTAGTTGTGGCTGCGCCTTCATCGGTCGAGCAATGTTGACCTTGAGCACCTTCCCTTGTAGCTCGTTCATGTCCATATTGTCAATGGCATCCTGCGCGTCCCCCGCGGACGAGAAAGTGACAAATCCGAACCCTCGGTGCTTAGCCTCTACGCTGTACGCGTCAGTTGCAACCTGTCTTTCACGCGCATAGTCGGAAAGTACACACCTGTCGGCTGCGCTCCATGGGCGACCTGCGTGGGCAATTGGACCTCGATAACGTCGCCTGACGACGAAAGAAGGGACACGAGTCAGAAGTCAGTTCTATGTTGAGAGAGATGCGGGAGAGCGTGGGACGCGCACCAAAGGTCGAGAAGGTCTCCAGGAGAAGGTTCTCATCCACATTATCTGCCAGCCCACCCACAAACACCGTTTTCTTAGACTTTGTTCCCTCTTCCATAGCGGTAAGATGAGATAAGCTGGGTCAGAGGGTTATGAATGGGGTTAGAGTAGCGCGCCTCCGTGACGGTCGTGGGCAAGACGCGACTCGTTCGACGCGTCGAGGCTTGGACGCGCTCATCACGCGCGCCTTTCCGAAAGTCAACTTGTTCGGAAACGTCCATTCGAGCCCGCCCGCTGTTGGAGATGGTTGCATCGAACCTGCCCCTGTGCTTACTTCCTGCATTCTGACGCAGCAAGGGGACCCTGCAACGGCCATACAGCCGTCCCAACACGGTTACGTTCGTCTCTGTTCTTGATCTTGCGTCCTCGTTGCGCTTCAGAAGATCGCGCGCGGGCTATACGCCCGATCGAGCTTCACCTTCCCACTGTGCACGCCGGCGGGCAACTCCTCCAGTCACTTTGGCTTGCGTTTATTACAACGCATCGCCGAGCGGACAGGCCAGAGCGTTTGAGCTCGTCGGATGGTTATCGGGTCCGTCCCATAACAGGAAGTTCGTTCAGACCTTGGGCGCGTACTGTGGGAGCTCCCACCCCCAAGCTGAACCCTCCGGGCCAAACCGCTAGCGTCGGCGCGTCCGCGTCTGATTCTCATATCGTGGCGCCTGCTCGAAAAGGATCTCGCTTTCGTGCGGTCGTCGGAATCGATACACTTCCTCACACTCCCGGCGGGGACAATGTTTCTGCTCTGGGTCGGCGGTGCGTTGACGTGTCGCGCACCGGCCGCTGCGTATATGCTCGTCTTGCCATCTTCGTCAGTGATTGCAAGGCCGTATGGCTATGATTGGAAGGATGTTCACTCGCTGTGTTCGTTTGGAGGATGGTCGTTCCCCGCCCGGTATTACGGCCGTGCCTCCCCTCCGACGAGGCCAGTTGGGTCTGTGATGCGATATATGAACGTTGGGGCTATGATGCATAATGCGTTTGAACCTTGCCTCTCCTCCCCGACTTCAGCCATCATGACCATGGCATACGACTACGAGTATGATGATGATGGCCTCTCGGACTGTGACTCGGAAAGCTCTGATGTCTTCGACGAGGAATCCGAAGAACGAGATAATGCTCGTCGTGCTCCCGACTGGCAGGGTCTTCGCTCTTTATTAAAGCTCAGGGGCTGCTACCTCGACACTGCGGCCGACGTCAGGCATTTCTACGAGAAGTACTGGCGGGATAACCCGGGCTCTGAAAACAAGTCATGTCGAGAATACCAGCGCGCTTGTAGTTTGCCTCCATCTGCGTTATGCCGCGACCTTGGACTTGTAAGACGTCATGTCCGCATATCCGTTAGGCGCATTCTGATACTGCATACAAGCCTGACAACCTTGCTCGCGCACGACATGCGCCGCACGGCACAAGGATCATGATCAAGGCGGTCGGTCTTCGGAGCAGAGAAGCACATATTGTGCGCCGGCTGTCTTCTCCGTCCATGCGTGACGACCCGCGCAACCACTGTATTCGTGAGTTCATTCAATACACTCGGTCAACGGACCGTCATTGTATACATTGAACTCAAAAGTCCCCTTCTACACAGCGGTCCTCGATATAATCTCGGTACCCGACCAGCATTTGACTCTGCTCGTCATGGAAGAGTGGTCCTCAGAGCTCATGCCGGATACCCCGTGCTGTCTCCGGCTTTTTCTGCGCGCATTACGGTCGTGTGTCTCGGTAAGGCAACTCCGCTCGTCCTTCGCGAAGCTTGCAGCTCAATTGCGTCCTTGGTCAGCACATGGTCTTCTTGCACGAGCATCGCATTGCACACCTGGACATCTCATGTGAGCATGACTCCAGGAAGCCGTGGCGTGCGCTCACAAGCTTTCATTCCTATTGCAGTGCGAAACCTTGTTACGGACTATCAAGGGCATTATGCGTGTATCGACTACGAAGCAAGCCGGTGCTTCGAGGGCATGACTGAACCTCGTATATTGATCGAGCGCGGCACGGAGCTTCCGCCTGAGATGGAGCGGGGTGAGGGGGGTGATCCCTTCGCCGCTGATGTATGGGCTATGGGCATTCTCTTCCTTCGCGCATTGCATGTAAGTAAGACTTCCTTTCCGGCGCGACATATGTGTTGACGGGCGGACTGTGGCGCAGATGACTGGGAGGAATGTACCTGAGCTGGTCCCTATCATCCGCGCTATGCTCGCCGATGCACCTCGTGAGCGGCCCAGAGCGCCGGCAGTGTTGCGGGCATTCGATGCGATGTTACCCACCATCAACTCTTCCCGGTTAGATGGATGTCCATATCCGACTCAACTTGCACATAGTGTGATGAGCACTTAGACAGAGCGGTCATCTCGCACCTTCAACATTTATCAATCTTTACTCTACAGCTACATAGACTCTACTGTATTCCGTCTTCGTCGGCTCCCGGTCTCTTCGCACAAGCACACGTCCAAGATCCCATAACTTATCATACACAAGTGCGCTTACTAGACATATCTATCTATACCACAGGTCAACGACTCAGAGTACCTACATCAGAAACTGGCCAGCGGCCGAAGTGTGAGATATGCGTCATGACGACGCGTGTGGGTGTGAGTAGACGCCGGTGTAAGGCGGTGTGCACGTGCCGACTACTGCGCCTCTCAGGACGAGGGATCCGAGTCGCGTCGCCTGTTGTCGCGAGCCGCGACTGACCCATTTATCCCGCAACCGAGTACGTGTACATAAGCGGCCAGCCAACGTTTCACCATGGCCGCAGGAATCAAGAGTGCGTCCATATACGGTCTTCTTCTCCGCCCGCCATGATGTTTACCGACAAACGGCTAGCCGTGATCCTCCTCTCCTTCGTCTTGGCCGTCGGCTTCCTCATGATCATTCTATCCTGTGCATTATGGGCAAACTGGCTTCCCCTTCTTGTTGGTGCGTACATATACTAGAATATACAGGGTATCCGCTCATGCAATGCCCCACCCAGCCCTCACGTTCGTCATGGCGCCACTGCCCAACGCGCTCTTCTCGCACTGCGGCGCCGACGACTTCTCCGACTACGAGTCCTCCCACGGCCCGGCCGACCTTGGCCGCTTCATCACCTCCATCTTTGTCGTCACCGGATTTGCGCTGCCATTGGTACTCGCACACTCAGAAGTCATCACGCCAGGAGCGAGCGTCATGTCCATCATCGGCGGCGGGTGCGTCCTCACCTTCCACGCGCTGCAGTACCGCCTGCGCCAGCAAGATACTCTCATCTAATATACTCGGCGTAGACTCGTATACGGCACTATCCTGGCGTACACTGCGACATTCCGCCAGAGCGAGGACGAATTCGAATAGACTGTTTGACGTTCATCGGCCTTGTGGCTTGGATACTGGGACTGTTGACTGTCGCGTCGCTACCAATGCTGTTGTACTTGAACTGCTTTCATGCGCTACCCGAAATGAATAATTTAAACATCAGGATATAAAGCTACTACAAGTCCTCCACCAAAACGTTCAGTGTCCCGAGACCAACGCGCGCTTCCTCTGGTGGCGCCCCCATGAGGCGTGCTGAGCCCTCCAGAGTGAAGCGCCCACATGCCATGAAGCAAACAGCCAGCTCGGCATCTGCGCGAGAGCCTGGTGCTAAGCGTCCCAATGGGACTTCCGTGAGGGAACCGTCAAACAGGATGTACTCGCTTGGCTCGACGTTGAGGTCCAACGTCAAAGACAAAGGTTGTGCTGTGCAGATGTACTCATCAGTCTACAGTTCTAATAGCAACGAAAAAGAGTACTCACGCGACATGTTCTCCACCTCAAGCCGAACGTATACGAACTCGTTGGGTGGCGGCATGAACTTGCCATCTCTCCTCGGCAACTCCTTCCACTCCTCGTCTTCCCTCAACCATAGTGACATCCCAACCCTCGTCGTCTCCGTCCGCAAACACTCCAACATCGGATAAGTGATCCTCTGTTGCCTGAGAGACAACTCGCCAGCGCGCCCACTGCTCCCCACCTCTCGCCATCGCGCGCGAATGGTCTCCAGTAGCGCCTCGCGGTACCAGAAGAGCTCGCGCTGTGCGCGGGCAGCAGCAGATGAAAGGCCGGTTTTGTCGACGACGAATTGTCGATCCGAGAGCGTGGGTATTGGTCTTGACACGTGCTCCTCGGATAGAAGGAATTTCTTAAGGGGTAATAGGATACGCGTGGTTGAGCCGGGCGGTACAATACTTGTGGTAGTAGCCGGAGGTGTTCCTGCAGACAATCAGAATCATCACGGTGTCATTGATAAACGCCGACACCTACCCTCTTGCAGACGCTCGAATGTGACCTCAAATGGCAACCCGTACGTGTTCCGTACGTCGACGGAGAACAAACACCACCCCTCCTCCTCCGCATCCCGCACAAGCGTCTTCCACGCGGTCTCTGGACCACCAAGATCAACATCCGAAGGAGTGAACGGGAGGACATCCATCGCCCAGCATTCGAGCATCTGGTACACGGTGACAAGGACCGGGTATGATAACGAGCGCGTATGGAAGACCTCGGAAGGTTGGACGAGGTTGCTTTGTTTACGGCTCACGTAGCCATATGCAACGTTGACCGTGCCGCTCATGCAGCCGACCTTGCCAGTACATGTTACGACCACGACATCCTTTGCGCCTGGTGCAATCACCCGCCCTTCATGCTCGGAAGCGTTCCAGGTGAATGCCGGTCGATGTACGAGGGCGAACTCGGTTTCATAGGCCTCAAAGACGGACAGGTCGCCTTCAGATAAGGCAGCTTGTGCAGGTGCGATGGTGTTGTCGTCGAATGTCAACCGCAAGAGGTCAACTGGTAACGTTCCCACGTTCTCCAGTGTTAGCCGAACTGTTGACCTTCACACGGCATGAGCAATGATTCGATCGCAAGATGTAGTGATGCTCGTACCTCTCCCCATCGTACAGCATGAGCGCGCCATGGGCAAGTGAACTCCATCGTATTCGGATAGCAGGCTGCTCCGGCACGACCTTGCACTCCAAGAACTTCTTCGGACCCTTTGATGCCGAGGCCGTACTCGAAGTCGTGATGCTCGCCCGCTTCTTCTCTCCTGACCCAATACCAGTAAACTTTGTCCGGTCTCGTTCAAGAAGAATCGAACTCCGTCGACGGGCTGCACGGTCGTCCTCTTCCGGAGTTGAGAGGGGTAGAACAAACTCACGCGGCGCGCCGCCGGGTGCTTGCACGATACACCCGCGCACGGTGAGAATGCCCGTCTCGGCGGGTGAGCCATGCAGTGTGACATTATGGTGGGATAAGGGTGGGATGGTTACTTGAGTGGGGTACGCAGTAAAGGGTACGCCAGATGTGCTGAATCGCGACTAAAATCAGCGCCCGCCTATAATGAAGAGATAGAAGGCGGTACGAACCTGAGCGTGAGATTCTGAAGCTCGAGATCGAATACGTATGGATTTGACAGGGTCACGATGAACTCGAGGGGCTCTCCCTCGACCACTAGCGTCTTTCCTTGTGCAAGTAGAGATCGTCGTGGATTGTACAGGAACGGATCCCGCGCGGGCGCGACTACGGTGGTTTCTCCGGGTTTGCTATGAGCGAGCAGTGACACTGGATTCTCGACGACTTGTCTTGTGTTTGGCGCGCTACATACCGGTGATGAGGACTTCATTCGGGTGTAGATGCAAGAAGCACGTACGGTATCATCTCAATGCTCACGATAGGTTGACCGGACCAGTACTCCACGATGCGCTGGTCGCCTCGTCGATGTGCAGCGGTGAGCGCTCGTGATGCGGACATGAATATCGTGTACTGGTCATCGTTGGTCAAGACCGAGTAGAGCGACTTCAAGGCGGAGAAAGAGAACTGTGCCACAGCCGATGGATCTGGAGAGATGTTTGAGATTACAGTGAAGGCGAGGACGGAGGTACGACTGACCTGGTAAAGCTTCGGCAACAGCCAAAGCCTCTCTCACAATGCCGACCTGTAACTCAGGCCATCCCGTCGGGTCCTCCAAGCTCTGCTGTTCCTCAAGCGATGCATCCGCCTCATCCGCAGTAGACAACGGATCTACGAGCCTGACTGCTTCGAGGTCGATACCGTGCATCTTGCAGATGTAGCGTATGAGCGAGATGATACTCCGGTTGCCGTCTGCACGCTCGTTCTCCCGTACGGCAAGGTAAGGTGCATCGAGAGCGTGTGTTGAGCGAGGAGAGTCGGTGATTTGGGAGTCATAACCGCCGTTGGATGCCATTTGGCTTTCGGCGCGGCCGACAACGACAAGGTCCATGATACACCCGATGACCTCGCGCAGAAGGTACACCTCCTTTCGATGGTAGCCAAGCGCCGCATACATAGACGCAAGTTTCTCCAGCATCGATATTCGTTCTCGATGCCCAAGATGCAATAGCCATGGTCCGTGCGCATTTGATAACGCATCGCCAATTGATGCACGGGTGACGGTGGACAGGATGGACAATTTGTCACGCTCTAGCCGTGATGCTGGTGTGGACGCGTGTGGTAATGGCGGTGCACGAGACGGATTCAGCATGATTGACCATGCAAATTGGCCCCAGCCTTTTGCAGACCAGATCGCGGCGAGTAACGACGCATGCCGTACCGTGGAGAGGCAATACGAGTAGGAAAGGAGGGAGTAGGTGCTGGCATCGTCGGAGGTGGGAGCCGCTTTCGCATAGAGCGCTGTTGCTTGCTCAAGCTTCTCGATCAAACCAGACCACGGATCACCAATGCCAGTTGCCGGAGCCGGAGCTACCTATCCTGAGCAGTTGAGCATCCACCTTTCACGACGATTAACGCATGAACTGACGGTTTGACTGCTTGTCCACAGGTCCAGGATGCTGACGGTAGCTTGACCCTCCAGGGCAGCGGCGTGCCATACGTTATCGGGATGAGCTTTGAACAGCGCGATGGCTTCTGTATACCTGGCGTGGTCAACTTCAATCGATGACGTAAGGAGCGATACCATAGTACTAACCATATACTGGCGTCTTCAGTCCTCCCAGATAGTAGAAAGAGGTCTCCAAGAACTTTGAATAATCGACCGTGTGAAGATGCAGTGCCTATCACGCTCTTACGGGGACCAGGAACGCCCATGGTTGACTGCCGATTCGAGGTGACGGGGGATAAGCTAGGTCCAGTAGATGCAGTTCGGGTGGGCATCAAGGATTGTCGCCGTGACACTGCAGAGAGTTCTGGCTGACTATTGTGCGATGGTAATGGGCCAGGTGTAGCTCCGTCATCCAGTGGTTTGGGCAATTCCGACGGCAGAGGCATCCTGGGAAACATCCCCGCATTGAGGAACTCATTGCCTAATGGTGTCTCCAGGGTACCTATCTGTAAGGGGCTTCAGTCTTCTCCCGAACGTTTGACTAGCGTTTCGTCGTACGATCGTTGAGAACTCTCCCAGAAGATTCGAACAGAGGTCAGCGAGAAGCGTCTCGATGTTCTCTTTCTTGTTGCCCATCGCGCTTGGGATGACGACAAGCCCAGGTAGCAGGTCGCCCAGATTCAAATTCGTTGAACCGTCGTCCTCCTCGAAGATGAAGCAATTCCGGGCCAGAGGGTATATGGAATCTGAGGGGAACATCTCCTTCATGACGGCATTGAACTCGGCGAGGATGGAGGTGAGAGAGTCCGAACGGGAGCACGAAGCAATACCGATGACGCCGAGGGGAAAGAGGGAAGGTCGGAACATTGAGAGATTGAAGTGGCTGGGAGGCGGCGGATGGCTCGGGTAGTTGAGATGGATGTAGCCCTTGGACTTCGGACTCGGCATGAACCGTGCTGATCAGATGTTTAGTATTGTGGCGCATATACAGTCATGACTTCACAAAGATATTCACCTTTCTCATCCTTCGTCCCAGGCGGTATATCGCTTAGTCTCAGAGTGTCGATGGTGCGAATTTCGGCTGCCCATTGGTCGAAAGTCCTCTTGGAAATCGAGCCTATTGGTACAAGCAGGATGCGGACATGGGCGAGTGCCGCTACAGCATAATTATCCATAGGTTGCCTCGCAGGCAGGTAGTCTATGCCAATTAAAAGGCTTCAGCAATATCGGTTCTGGCACGAGAGATTGTAGGCGGGGTATAGGGAGATGATGGTAGACGGGGTTGAAGATGATCTAGACGCGCGAACGCGTGCGCGCGTCGGTCGCGCTCACGGAAGTTGATGCTCGCGACGCGTCCACGCCCTCCACGTCTTCACTTTCGACCACCACCCGCCCCGATCCTATACTCAACCCCGACACTCTTTACAACCATTTGAAATGGTGATTACAACTCATACAGTGCAAAAGCACGCGTTCTCATTGGTCATCAGGCGGGCAGTGACAAGGCGCTGGGCGGCGCAATGATGCTTGCCGCCGCAGTAGTATTCACTTACTACACCATCTGGGCTCTCTTGCTAGTATGTTTCTTCGTCTTTGTACTACATTGCATGCTCATGAGTATACACAGCCATTCTTCGACGCGTCGAGCCCCCTCCACGAATGGTTCCCGGCCAGGGAATGGGCCGTACGCTTACCAGCATTTATCCTCTTCGTCGGCATCACAGCCATCGGGTCATTTGTCGGAATGACGATAGTGAAGGAGAACAGGAAGAAGGCGGCAAAAGCCCGTCTTCGCAGTGCGTAATACCTGTATCATATGTTCGGACTTTGCGGATTATCGAGCCGTTATGATTGTAAAGGCAACGGACACGCGACCGGATTCGTGGCAGGTGCCACAATAGACGCCCTTCTTCAGATGGAAACAAATGTACCCAATCAATACGGATCCATATCTAACTAACTATCCTTGAGTCTCTACTGTCCGTGTATACATGTCTGCCAGGATCCCGCGGTCTTGGTATAGGTATTTGCGCATGCGATTCGAGCAGGTCCAATTTCTCTGCTGCGATCACATCCACGCGGGCTTGATCCAACAGTGTTTGCCAAGGGACGAGCGGGACGGGGTTATTGATCTCGCGCAGCGTACGATCCAACTACGTTTTATGTCAGAGCTGTTCAGAAATGCGCACGAATGGCTTTACCTTGGTGTTCGATATCTCAGAGTGAGCCGTGCTTTGCATCTTGCGGAGCCCGGCAACCTGTTGGACGATCTCCAGATAGATGATTGAATGGAAGTCTCGTAGGAATAAAAGTAAATCCGCAACAGATGTTGAAGCAACGCTCGCCATAGCCTGACAGGAACATTTGTCAGCTCGCGTACTTACGATACTAGCTGTACTCACAGAGCTGGCCCCACCATGCGCGCCCGTCATGAGCATGGTGAGAACGCGCAGGAAGGGTGGCCAAAGGTCGTTCCAGAAACGAAAGGCCAGGACATTAGACGCATGCAGGGGCTCAAGAGCAGCGTCGGACAATTTCTTGCCGAGCAACAGCCAGAGCTTGATACTGATATAACCATGGTTGATGGTCGAGGCCTTGTCTGTCGGGCCCATTGTCGAGGGTGAGAGGAGGCATTCGTGGAAGGTTGCCGCGAAGATAGGGAAGTGGCGAAGGAGGGCTTGCGCAGACTGCGGGAGATCGCGGGAGATGGAAGCCAGCACAAAAATATTCCAGGTCTTCAAGCTCAGACGACTCGCTTTCTATCGCGGACGTCAACAAATATCACGAAGACCGGATGGACCAGGCTCACACTGTTCAGATGTTCTTGTATTCCTTGATGGAAGAAGTCAGCGCTGTGCTCGACGCCGTCAAACACCATTTGCGCGACCCGCAGAGACGCATCGAAGTCAGACTCTATTTGTCCCTGAGAAGCTCCCTGCGCAAGTAGGTACTTGAGTGCATCATGAGGCAGCCTGTTCGCCCACATGACAGCATCACCACCAGTCTTCGCGTCGCCCTCGATGAACTTCTCGATCACAGCCTTAACCAAAGTCAGCTGTAGTACACACTGTATGCCGTGCATGCACACCTCAGTCATTGACTTCAAGGTTGTCGAAAGCATGTACGTCTCTCCACGGAGTGCACCTGAATAGATCTCCAGAAACGCATTGCTGACCGCGTTCATCGAGCTAACGGGACCCTGCTTCTGTCTCCGGTTTGAGTCCAGTGTTACCTCAAGTAGTCGTGCAAGACTGCGGGTTGAAACGTGAAAGCGGGCCAGCGCAGCCCGGAGAAGGGTCTCGGTAGCCAGCAGTAGATCCTAAGATGAGATCAGTGGGTTGAACCGGGGCAATCCAATGAAGCACGACGCACTCTACTGTTCGCCTTGTTGTACTGAATAGCGGTCGTGGATATCGAGATCAAGACGCTAGGATCGAATGAATCCGCGGGCCACTCGGCAGCTCGACCGATGATCCCTTTGAAGACGGTTCCTAGAGCTGTGAGGTACAAATGAGGCCGATACTCCAGGAGGACACCGCAGAGATACGCACTTAACAAAAGGCCGATGGGCAGCGGTTGAGAGTGCGTGGAGTCCAGATACATCTCAAGATTCGCCAAGATGATCTGCAGCGTATCGGCGTCTGCATCTGGTGTATTGATCCTTGTCAGAGTGTCGCTGACCAGAAGGTCGCGCAGAGGGACCTCGCCGGCGGCCGTCATCATATTGACCCCCATCGTCGCTTGCTTGAGGGCCGCGTGCAAAGCTGGTTCCGGCTTTCTCTATTGACGTAGTTTTAGCCGCAGGGTGCATTCAGGTCCGGCAGACACTCACCTTGAATAGAGCCAGTAAGATTGCCTGTTCACCATACGCGGAGAGCGTCAGGTCCATGAAACCCAAGGCCTGCTGTACCAGCACGTCTTCCTTGTTTCCTCCGAGGCTTGAGATCACCCGAGCGCAGATATCCAACGCGTCCCTACTTCTGTCTCAGCATACTTCAGAGGAGAATCGTTGTACAATACTCACGGTACGAAACTACCAGCATCCTTGCGCCACGTTTTGATGAACGCTGACGCCACGGATACACCAAGCTGACGAAGGTCGTATGGGGCTTCCGAGAGTGCGACTGACAGAGCGCGTTTAGCTGCCGCACGGAGCGAGCCGAAGAGATACCCCAGCGCCTTGCTATCGAAGTCGTGCTTGTGAATGACCACGATGAGCGATTCGAGAAGCATCTTCGCACTCATGTAAGGGAGAAGAGTGAAGTCAGGAGCATCGATAATGAGAGTTAAGATCACGTCCACGAAGATCGAGCCCACTAGCATCGGTTGCTGCTCCTCATCCTGCGACGCGCTTGTCATAGCCGGGGATACGGGCAAGCGATTTGCCGAGTCGAATAGCGTAAGGAGTTCATCCGCACATGGCCAAGCGTAATCCGGCACGGACTGAAGTTTCGTGTATGATATATAGAAAGACTGAGCGGTAGCCGAGGGAACGATCGCCACGTTCTTGAAGCCGAGGACGCGGAGCAAGTGGAATTTGACCGTCATGTAGTTGTTCGTATCCACAGGCAACCCGGCCGATATAAGCTTGAGACTCAACAGAACTGTTGAAACGAAGAGAGATAACGCTTCGGGGTCGACAGCTGCAGGAACGACCGAGTCCTGAGCATCAGAGTCTACGCCGTACATTTCCTGTCAAGGTCAGCTCAATGGCGACATAAGTGGTCGGTGACGCTGGCTCACGAGATGGGCGTCCGCCGGATCAGCTGCGTTATCCTGCTGTAGATAATCCTCCTCCCTTAGAGTCTCGCTGATGGCACCCCAAGAAAGCACTATCATAGTCATCCAGTCAATGATGATGCTGTTTCAGCCACATCGTGACTCACTTTGCCAGGTTGGGAAGTGAACATGTAGTTGCATCAGCAGCGATACAAGCTTGACGCGTTCGGTTATAGGGGCCTTCGTTATGGCCTCGTTCCAGCATAGGCCGATTTGCTCGAAATGTGCAGGTAGGAGGGTCTTTGACCAGGCCAGAACGGACGTCCGAACCTCCTCCTAGATGATGAACGTTCAATATCATGGCCGTGATCCCATTTCTTAAGAAAGGACGCACCTGGGGGTCAAGCCAAATGGCCCGGAAGTATCGCGCGAAGATGAAGACCACGCTGGAGCGCCATTGCCGGCCATCAACGTTGAAGTCTGGGCTTGGAGCGTCCATGATAATCCTGAACACACGCTTTAGGCCCCGTAACCTACGAGGGCAGTCAGCACACAAGGCCATCCACCGCTACAGCTCGTCCATACCGTTGATCCCACGGCAATGAATGTGCGGTTTCCTCCGCGAAGAGCGTCTCAAGCGGCTGGGGCTCCACTGACAGGACATGTAATAGCAAGTGCGGTCGCAAACAATATAGCTCTGGTATCTGGAGATCATAGAACTTCCAAGCGCTGGTGAGAAGATCAGACCAAATGCGGATAAAGAGACAACAATGGGTGACTGACGAAGATCCGAGAACAGCAGCATTCCTCAGAACGAAGTTATCGACCTCATATGTTTCGAGATGCTGACTATCCCTCATGAAGAGGCTAAAGAAGCGTGCGACCAGTATCGCAACTTGCTCGACGCCGGTTGAGACGTACTCGCCAAGGGCAGCGATGAAACGAGTGCTGAGATTGATGGGGTCCGATTGCACACCGACGTTGCGGGCGTTGAGTGAGCGCCTGTACAGCGAAGATGAGCACCGGGGTATGTTTGAAAGAATGTTGATAAGTGACCTTGACGGAAGGTCTCGCACTTCGTGATCATGTACGAAACCGTTCTTCAGCAACTTCTCACGCTCACAGCCGGCAACAAGCAGACATGTTGCGACGGAGAGTCGAATGAATGTAACGCTATCAATGATCAGGGTGGTCAGCACGAGATAGGAATCGCATCTGACACACATACAAATCAGACCATGTATTCGGATTCCCTCGTAGACCTTCCACGACCTTGTCGGCTAATCTCAAATGCAGGGCGCCAATAACCGTGTGTAGGTCCTGTCTTCCCAGAGAGCGAAGCCAGATAGAGCAGAAGGCCGCTGACACCAGTGGTAACGTTTCTACGACATCGAGGTCGAAACGGCCTGAGAGAGCAGAGAACTGCTGGAAGATAGCGACAGGGATATCGACGCCAGAGCTCGACATCATGGCCAACCATTGTAAAGCCTGTTGAAACGAATGCCTTCCGGAAAGAGCCGCGCGCATGATGATACTCCATGGGTCTGTGGCAGATGGCATGTTCGAGTCCGTCACAGACAACATGGTAGTCGTCCGCGCAGTGCTTCCACGACTGCCACCTCCAGTATCGCGACCAAGTAGGCGGGTGAGTGTGGAGACGGGCTACATGTGACGATGAGTACAAAAAGCATCGGCATCAGTCGCGACGATACTGACCTTACGAACAGCCCAGATGTCGGATGTTGACTCAAGCCAGCGTAGTAAGAGGTCATCGAAGACGGTGAATACGACCGATGCTTGGGTGAGGCGCACGATAGAGCGCAGAGATGTATCCGCAAGGTAGACGGCAAGCTTGAAACATACTCAGCGACGCGTACATGAAAATTGATGAAATGACGTGATCGCTCACATCTTCGGCCTTGACCTGTTCGGATATGCTCGTCTCCTCAGTTAGATCGGCAATTGTCTCGTACAGTGCGTTTGCATAGAATGGTATATCCTGATCATGGAAGGCCAATAGCCATACAGTTGCGTACTTCTGCAAGAGACTGCGACGGTGGGCAACGTAGTCTCCACCATTATTGGCAGCAGAAGCATGGCGGGAGCCTTCTCCAGATGGCCACGCCGGCTTCTCGCTACTTGAACGTACGCCAGGCAAAGGCTTTCCCGAAGAGACATATTCGCGAAGAATCACTGCGATATGTTCGTCCTTAAGTCCGATCAGTTATTGTGACACGTGAACAGACACGACGATGACGTACCTCGTTGATAACCCATGCGATTACCGCTCGAGCAAGACGTTGAAGAGCGTACCCGGTAGCCATCTGGTTCGGCCAGAACCGCCGAGTGAGGAGCAGAAGGCCGGCCTCGTTCACACTCAAGTCTATGTCTTCTAAAGACGACTCAATCGCGGTGACAAGGATCTCTACATCGACAGAGATATCAAGGCCCAGTGGCAATGGAAAGACGCATAGGATCTTCTCCGGTCTAACGAAGGTCTCCTTGTGAACCGTGCTTGTACCTAGGCGATCGTAGAATCCGACGTGACGTAGATGACTAAGGAGAACTCGGGCTGCCGGCTCGGAGAGCACATTGAAGCAGATACCGAGGGCATCACGCAGATGGGCGATAGTTAAGACCTCCGAGGGGTTGGATCCCGAGTCGCCTGAACCGTTGGCGAGTGGTTGTGCGGCTAGGAAAGATGTTGACGAGTCATTCGTCTGCATTGCTTCCACGGACGGGGTGCGTATGTTGGACGCTATGAACGAGAGTGTGGGCCAGTCGTACAGCATGGAGTGTTGAGTGTACAGGAGTTGGTTCTCCTGCAGGAATTCCTCTAGCGTGGGAGAGAGGAAGACCTGCCGCGCCGACAGCGCATCGTGGAGTGCGTTGACAAGATCATCGAGTTCAAACGCGGGAAGTGTATTGTATCCCTGTATGACGAGACAGCCAAGATCTAGGCCGTTGAGAAGGAGTTGTCGCTGCACAAAGAATGCGTCGGATAATATGGAGAGCTCCTCGTAGCGCGCGCCGGTGGCGAAATCGGAACTTAAGCAGTCGGCATAGAAGCTGCAGAATGTCGTTTGGAAGGTGCTCCATGAGACGGATATATGTCCGGAATGCAATACAGAGGTACCGCACGGTTCGATCGGCGTCTCGGTAGACGTTACGCAGGAAGGATGCGCGAATACGGGGCACTCGCTGCACTTGAGTCCCTGTTCCCAGCAGCCCCATAAAGGCTCGCGGCAGATAAAACATAGTGTCGTGGCCAGGAGATTGATCTGGATGAAGGCGTGGCCCGAGCGCTTGAGGGGCTTGACAGATGATTGCCGTGGAGGAAGAGTGGGGCAAAAGCGATACACCGCGAGTTTTTGCGTGGAAGTATTGGACTCGACAGAGTAGGGAACAGCGATATTGCCATCTGGGTAATCGTAGCAGTCGTAGTGCACTGCACACATGCAGAACGGGCAGAAAAGGCCGAACTCCGATATGGCTTGCAAACATACTCGGCAGTCGTTGCTCGATGATCCATCGAAGACAACTGGGCGCGGCCGGCTCCCGAAGCGCCAGGGGACGAACTGATGGGCTGTAGGATGGGCGTGTCCAGGTGCGCTGGGACGTGCGAAAGGTCCCACGTAAGGAAGAGGTTTGCTGACTGTGAAGTGACCGAGTGAGCGCGGCCAATAAGAGCACAATAGCGATAGGCCTCGGCGTCTTGACGTCGGGACGTGATAGGCAACCGTTTGCAAAAGATCCAAATAGCTGTCGGGCTTGAGCTCAATGATTGTCTCAAAGAGACGACCAAAGCGGTAACGAGTGTCCATGGGCACACTTTCAAGATCTAACCTCTCCAATGCTGCTGAGAGGAGCGGACTGACGATGGAAAAGAGCTGATAGAGCTCCGCAACTTGACCCGGCGAGTTTGAAGACGACAGGCGTCGGTCAGCTTCCGAACGCGGCATCCAACGACGCCAGCCACTTCCGTCGGGGAATTCAACATCGTCAGGTTCCTCGACTTGGATAGCAACGGCGGGCGGCTCAAGATCGTCCAAAATAGTGTCTATCTCACAGTCAGTGTGATTTCAGTAGAGCTTGTCGATCGAACTACCTCGGGAGCCGAATGGACGTTGTAGCGCTGCAGCATTCGCGAGCATGTCGCGAAGTAGAGATTCTTCAAAGAATTGAACTAATCGGGGTAACATACGAGAGCTGAATGTAGTGAACGCAGGAAGGATAGCAAATGCGATTTTCGAAAGGATAGCAGGAGAGCGCGAGTGCAAGGATATCAATATCTGGGCTATGTCAAGGCAGAAGGCCTGTAGTGCGTTGGGAGGAAGGCCTGGGCGTGGTCGAGCGATGGGGAACCGGCAGTCTTCGGTTATCAGTGACTGTAAGATGCGTAGGCATCGGAGTAGCAGGGCGGACGCTTCGGAAGTGGCCGTTTCCCTTAGTGTAGGCGAGGGGGACCGAGACCGGGTCATGGACTGGCTTCGTCTTCTCATCCGAAAGGGAGACGCGGACTTGTGCTTTGACGCTTGAGCGAATACGTCTGTAGACGAGCTGAAGCATGTTTTAGCGAACGGTAGATAGAACATAGGGTGTGATCTTACTCGTCTTCAAACAGGTTAACATCTCGATCTAGGGAGACAAGCAGAATATCGCGTAAGTGCTGGGTGAGATTGGCGGCTTGGTCAGAGGAGAATCCAACATTTGCCTCGTCGTCGTCGCTATCCTCTTGATTGACCAGCGAGTTCAGGTTTCCGGATATTGATTTCTCGATGGCCTGCGCGACCACAATTGGTCCCTTGGCCGTTGACTGCTGCGTCTCTAGAGAAGAGAGCGAGTCGAGTATCGATGGCGCCTTCGGCCGTTGAGCGATCTGCTCGAGCTGGAAAGCAAGGACCTTCGTGAGTTCGTTTTTGCCTTTATTGCCGGCGGGAAGATCGAAAGCCTTCGTTAAAAGCGGGGAGGAGGGAGGTTTCTCTGTGTTGGGTGATGTCGACGACCTGAATGCCGACGGGAGGTTCGAGACCGACCGAGCTCGCGAGCGTACCGACGCGAGCGGCGACTTCTCCTTCTCCACATTTAGAAATCCCGCATCGGCCTGCAGCGCAGAGGTATCGAGACGTAGAGATGGCGCGTTCGAGTACATTACCCGTCGCGGTGTGTTGGGAGGCGGAACCGCGCAGGTGTCCCGCTAATAAACTGAGCTCAGACGCCGGCGCGCTGATGGGTACACGGTGGTAGAACCAGACGCGTCGGGCGCGTCGGGCGGGCGCGACGCGTCTTCCAACTTTACCCACGAGGCGCGATCAATCACGCAACGGATGAACTTGCTTTCGACCACCATCCAATTGAACTTCCCTACTCAACCGTCATATCGACTGTGACAAGTCTAGTGCACTGAATTCCCGATGCCGCGGGCTTTGAAGACCAAGTCTAAGGCGACTGCCGACAAACGCCTTCAACAAAAATCCCTCTTCGATTTCGCAGGCGGCTCGAACACGGCTAAACCTGCGGCGTCTTCGTCGAGGGCAGCTATGCCATCCAAATCCTCTCCCATCCGTCCTCGCAACACCCCAATGAAACGCAAACGACGGCGCGCCGCTTCTGTTGACTCTGATGAGCAAGGGTCTAGCAGCGACGTCGCGGCAATTCATTTTGAACCCCGGCCACCTATTGAATTATCTGATAGCGATGACGAGCGACCTCCACGACGGCTTCATAAGAAGAAGGAGATAAATGTGTCCTCTTCTGCTGACTACAATGCTCGGGATTCCGACTCTGACATGGATGATGTGCCCTCCCCTAGAAAGAAAAGGCTGGTGAAAAGGTCGACGGTGACTACGCTCTCGGACTCGTCGGATAATGAGGAACATGAGCCAGCCCCAAAGCGCCGTAAACTAGCGAAAGGGAAGAGGCCGACCGTATCAGAGCTGTCAGATGATAGTGGCGACGAAGTGGATGAAGCGCGTAAGCGTAGCATATATGACGATGAATGCATATTATTGACGTGTACTGTAGAAATCCTCGAATCTCGGCTGCGAAAGCGGGGAAAGAAGTCGAGCTTTCAGAAAAACTTGGAGAAATTGAAGAGTGCGCACGGGCTCGATATGTTGTGATCTTTGCGACTGATGCTCATGTTTCACAGAAAGGAGAGGTGGTCAGACAGCTGAGACTTCGTCTGAGGAGGAAGAGGAAGAGAGCGAAGGTGAAGATAAGGACGAGGAAGACGAGCCCGTGCCATTCTTTGGCGCTCGACGCGATGGGACCGAAGACATAGAAGAAGAGGGCACCAGTCACCAATCCCGCGAGGACGAGGACGACTTCATCGTCGAGGATGACGCTGCGACAACGAACCTCCCCGCGGAGTTCAGCATGGCTGCGCGTCAAGACCCTGCCCACCTGTTCAAGATTGTCTGCCAGCTTTTCGTCCATCTAGCCGTGCGCCCCGCACGAGAGCGCCATAACTACATGCAGCAAATTCTCAAAGGAGACGGTCAAAGTAAGATAGACGTTTATTTACGTGGCGCATGTCGTGACTGATATTTGCCGGTAGACGAGGAATACTTTGCAGTCCCACTCGTCATGACGCGCAATAAGCTCTCCGGTCTACGCGATTCCGTTGCATCCTCGGTTTGGCGTCCCGGTCTCAAGAAAGCATTATTGGCTTTGCCAGACTTCACCCTGTCGCATCTGGATTTTGCCGTTCCTCATTGTGATGCATGCCATCTCGGCGGGCGCATGTCCACCTTCCTGGGGCGTGCGAGTGGACAACCTTACGATCGAGATTCTTTTGAGGTAAGCCGTATCTATAACCTTCATGATCACTTCATACATTGATATCGCTTATCTGTTAGCCCATTAAGAAGTCTAGTGACGACGAAGAGTCGAGCGGCGACGACGATGAGGACGAAGATGCAGATGAAGTCAAAGAGTTCAACCTCGGTCGTTTCTGCGCCGCAAGAGTACAGGTCTTTCACCGGTTCTCGCACTGGGAGGTGGGAATCACTCTTTCTGTACGTTTCTATGCCATCTCATCCGTGCGTGCAGTATACGCTATTCGAAGCGATCAAGTCGGAACTCGACCACCTTCGTGGCGGTGGTAACTTTGTGAGAGTCGGCTTTTGGAAAGGATTGCAGCCACCCGAGGACCTTGCGGACGCGGACGGCGTCATGGACTGGCTTGATCAGCGCGGGTTCATTCAGATGGAATGGCAGCGCATCAAGGACATGATGAGTAGTGCGAGCAGGCTTGAGGGCGGCCGGGAGGATGATCAAGACCTTGATTTGAGCTGAGCACCGACGCCGCAGCAGTAAAAGATTCGAGATGTATTCAAGCAGGTTTACCTCCCTAACCTTCATATGCGCTGGCATCGGAGAGCACGTCGAATGATGTCCGTACGTGAATGTCTCTAGCAAGATCAACAGCGTCGCTGAACTCGTTCAACACTGTAGTCGATGCCTCAGGTGCACTGCTTTTGACTAAACTCGTGGACACCAGTCACTCGCCCACAATATTCGACAATGTTCCAGACTTCTCCACAGCCTTCTTCCTTGTAGGTCTTAAGATAACCCAGATATCGACCGAGTTTATAATTCTGACTTTCTCACGCGCAGCCGGACACCTCATGAGGATAGGACCTATGTCAGCCGACTCGCTAAGAAGGCTGCGCGACTCATCCACAGGAAACACCTTCCAGTACCTTCTGGCACTCCCCAGAAGGTATGCATTCCATCCAAGGCATGAATTCCATCCTATCGGAGCGCTAATGTGCAGACATTGCTGGAGACGGCTCGGAGTTTGAATCACCAACAGTCCGGTCGGGTAAAAAAGACTGAGGCCTGACGACCGCGGAACCAGGATCGTAGTAGAGTTACAACAATCAATGAAAAGCCGTGGTATAGTTACATAAAGTATAAATGATAGCGATGCGAGAGAGTATAGTTCGGATATGCATTGCAGAAGTTCCTGGTGACGGGCCACGGCGGAAGATCTTGATGTAGACAAGTGAACTCAGGCGCTACCCAAGGGGCAGGGACGTCGGGCGATACATGAGATACAGTGCTAATGTGCAAGACGAGCTGACTATGCTGAACAAGAATGACATTATGGCGAGAGTATTGCCGCATACACGGCTGGCATGGGGACGTCGTACGTAGATGTGAATCGCCCCACCAAACCCCAAAAACATGGCATTCAGACCGAAAATCAACGCGCACAATCGGACATGTGCGTTATCATCCATATCGGATAAAGCTATGAGGGCGATGAATGCCGCAACAGAAGCAACACCCAACCCCCCAAGCGCTGCGAGCTTGGATGGCAGCGCTTCAGCATACGCGCGGCAGGGATGTATAGGGTAAACAGGACTGACAAAGCTACATGAGATGGAAGCTTCGGCCAAATCGTGATCAGCCGCTCTTCCCTGTTCAAGGTGCGAGGCAAGCTGCAGCTGGTTGTGGTTTGACGGCTACACGGGCAAGCCATGTCAGTGTCACCCGTCGATGGCTAACGGAAGTAGCCGGTGTTTACTCACGGTTGATGCTCTGTCGCCCCGACTTGAATTGGGAGTATTGAGCATGCACATGCATATCCAAAGAGACCCGCCCGCTGCGGGACCTCCTAGGATGACAATGGCTGCTACCTCCGTCGAGCTCGGTCTTCGCCTTGATGCTACCGGCATCACATCTCTAGATGAGACCGTTACAGCAACGGGGTTGGAGTTCGGTGCCGCAAAAGCAGCTGAGCGCCTTGGCTGCGACGAGGTCGATGACATGAAGCGGCGTGTTTCCATAGGAGTACGTAGGTTCTAATGGGGTATATGTCGATTAGGGGAGGGTAGTACTGCTGACGGTGATGGATGCAAGCCGCCGTCGATAATCACTTGAAAAGGGGGGATAGAAAATACAAGGCCTGTCCATAGTGGACGGTAGCTTTATAACGCGAGAGGTACAGGGCGGTGCGAGACAGAATAACGAGGATAGCGCCGAGGGTGGGGTCGTATGTCAACTTGTTTAAGCTCATCGCACGGCCACACGTGCTAGCTTGCACTCTGAAAGGCAACAAAACCCACCGGAAACATAAAGAAGATGCTAGAAAGACTGACTCAGGGATGGTCAAGCACTTCCCATGAGCGAGAACAGATTCCCCATCCGAGAAATAAATTGGATATGCTGTACTCACCTGTGGAATGCAGCGGACAAGGGTGGATCGATATCGACGGCGGTCATTCGCCGTGCAGCGTCCTATAGAAATACAAACGCGATGTTGATATATATTCCTGGAGACGGTGACGGCCGGGCTACATAGGTATCAAAAATGTGGGAGATGGAATGAGAGATATGAGTAGCAGTCAAAAAGGATAATAACAGGATAAGAGGATACGAGCACCAGGTCGGGATATGTATACCCACAGCAGTCTAGACTAGACGACAAAATCCACAGGAGAAGAGGGCAGGCTATATACGAGCGGGGAAAGCATAGTCCCAGGTGAAACGGCCACGAGACGAACCAGTATCCGCGAACAGCACGTATACAACGCAATCATTGCATGCTGGCAGTAGCGACAGCAACGGCAAGCGCATCTCTCCTGCCTGCCTTGCCAACCTTCTTCGCCAGCCACGCGTGTTGCAACAGCTCGCCCGCACTCGGCCGTGCATTATGATCGAGCTCGAAACACCTCTCCAAGAACGCCTGGGCGTCCGCGGAGATGTCGCGCGGGATGGGCGGAGGCGTATTGCCGGCGCCGATCTTGAAGATAGCTTGCATCTGGTTGAGCTGCGCCCACGGGTGCTCGCCCGTGAACATCTCGACGACGAGACAGCCGACGGACCAAATGTCAGCTTTCTTGGTGTAAGCAGTCTGTTTGACGACTTCAGGCGCCATCCAGAAGACGGAGCCTTGAAGGGAGGGACGGTGTAGGCGGTTGCCGGGCATCAAGTCTGCGAATGTGAATCAGGAATGTCGAAATGAAGGGGGAGAGGGCACGTACTGTCTTCGAGCTTCTTACTAACACCGAAGTCGGAGATCTTGATACCGCCCTTGTTGTCCACGAGCACGTTCGCACCCTTGAGGTCACGGTGCACGATCCCGCGTTCGTGCACGTAGTCCAAGCCCTCCAGGATTTGCTTCACGAAGTTCCTGACGAGAGGCTCCTCAAACGCGCCATAATTCCTCAGCAGAGCGGCGACACTTCCACCAGGGACGTATTCGAGGAAGATATTGAAGTGCGCGTCGTCGGCAGAGGAGTAGAGGTACTGCACGATATGATCATGCTGTAGGTCCTTGAGTAGCTCGATCTCGCGCTCAAGAGCCTCGACCATCCCGCGTCGGCGCTCGCCGTTCATATCGCCCGCCAGCTCGACTTGCTTGACGGCCATAAGAAGTCCATTTGTTGCGTCCATACCAAGATACACGCGGCCGAAAGAGCCGCTTCCAATGAGCGCGCCCTTGATCCACTTAATATCGCCACTCGTCTCCGCACGACCAGTCCCGTCCTCTTCGTCATCCTCCTCTTCATCCTCGTCCTCGTCAAGGTCCTCCTCATCCTCGTCCTCTTCTTCCTCCGTCTCCTCGTCATACTCCTCGTCATCGTACTCCTCAACGTCCACGTCGACGTCCTCTTCCTCCATCGGCACATCGTCGGGCGTAACAGGTGCAGCCTCAGCGGCCTCCTCGACAGCCTCATCACCGCCCACATGCGTCCAGCCCTCGATCATGCTGGCCGTATCAGCCTCTCCCTTCCGCACGCTACGCCGTGTCTCGACTGCCTCGGTGATCTCGTCGACCGTCATCATACTGGCCGCATCGCTCGTATCCTTTGCCTTGCTCTTCAGCTCCGTAACATGACTCAAGCGCCTGCTCGCGCGGCTCGGGTTCGGTGCAGCGAGCGTTGCGCTGAGGGAATCGCTGAGGCTCTCGCGCGGGAACTCAACAGGTGGGAGAAGACCGGCGGTATTGGGCGTGATGCTGCTCGCCGGCCTTGACGAGTCGTCGTCGTTATCCGCGAGCGTCTCGTCGTCTGTACTGATGCTGACCCTCGGTGTACCAGTGGCACTAGCAGCTTCGTCGGGCGGCAACTCCATACCGGCTCTCGGCTTGATGCTAGGCGCCATACTAGCCATGCTGACCCTCTTGCTCGCCCTGGCCCCGCCACTCCCAACAGTCGACACGCTGAACCGACTGCCAGGACCCTGCGCCGGGTGGAAACTCCACGTCGAGTCTCTCCTCCCGGCGCCGGCCGAATCGCGGCGCTGCCCGGGCACACCGCTCGCGCGCATGATGCTCGTGCGTTTGAGCACGCGGCGGTCGGCGGTGGGGAAGAACTCGCGTAGATGGGCGCCGATGAGCTCGGAGGGCGGGCGTTGGCCGAAGAAGTTGCGAACTTTGGCTGCGGCGGCTGAGGCGCGACGGCCTTGTTTGGTCCATGCGGCCGAAGCGGGTGAAGAGGGCGATAGCGGGCGGTCGTTTTCCATCGCGTCTGTGGCCTTTTCGGGGAATGGGACGCCCAAACCCGACAAGACGGATATCGTTGAGGCGCGGCGGTAATTCCTCGGCCGTGCTGGCGGGTCGTCGGGTAAGAGCAGGTCGGGGTTCATGGTCGTTTGTAGCGGTGAGAGCGGAGGAGTCGTGCTCGGGTCTGCCGAGGAGGGACTGAGTGCTGCAAGGGCTTTCATGCGCGCAGCGGATTTCGCTGAGCGGCGGAGTGTGAGCCCACGCTCGCGCGCGGGATCGTCCGCCTTGGAGTGGCATATCGCAAGCAGCTGGGCCTCAGAGAGCGGTGTTCCTATACGAATAGATATGTTAGCACAGACATGATACAATAAAGTGTGAAAACAAACGTTTCGTACCCTGCCTCGAGTCATCACCCCAATCGAGGTACACACTCCAGCCGTCGACAGATAATCCACCCTCGTCGGTACCAGCGCGTTCGGCAGCTCGGTTACCCGGTGCGAGCTTGCCGAACTTCCGAAGCGCGCGTTCGACGACTTCGACGCCACCGGAACAATCCTCGACGTTGATTGTCGTCCCGCGCCCTTCGTCTGCGAGCTGGAACTTGACAAGTTGCCGGCGAAGATCGACGAGGCTCGGCGCATTGGATGGCGCAGAGGGTGTGCCGGGACGCGTGGACTGTTGCTGCTGGAGCTGAGCCTGTTGTTGCTGGCCCTGAGGGAATGGACCGCGCCCGACCGCGAACCCGCCGGGCGAGGGCAAAGTAGAGTTGAAACCTTCGTTGATGGGGCTGAGGGCATTGTTCCCTGGCGGGTGAAGCGCATATGGATGGCTGCCTGCCGTACTGGGCCGATTACTCGGTTTGGGCGGCGGATTGGGAGGCGTGACCGATGATGCAGATAGGTTGCGGCCATGTGCTGCCGCCTGCAATGCCGGTGAACGCGAGGGTGCGAAACCAGGGCTGAACGAGGCCCCGCGCGGTGGCGGGTTCGGCAGTGGCGACGTGCTCCTCGGCGGCTTGTTTGCGCGAGGATCGGATGGGAGGCCAAAGGGAGTCCAGGACGCCGGCTGGGCGGACACGGGCGTCAAAAGGGAGTTGTTCGGTGCCGGTGGCAGGGGCTGGTTCGTGTAGTCGGGCGCGTTGATCGGGGTGCGTGAGCCGGTGCTGGGGGGCGGCATCGGGGGCGGCGCCAGCCTGTTGCTTCTGTTCGGGTGCCCGGACAGCGGCGTCGTGGCTGCTGCCGAGTTGGGACCCGGGTGGCTCGGCAACGGGCGCGTGGCGAGCTGCAGTGGCGCCGGCCTGCGCGACGTCGACGGCGATCGCTGGGGCGCTGGCACTGCCGCTGCCGCCGGCGTTGTTTCGAGCAGAATAGACGTCCTGGCCTGATGGGAGCGGGTGTTGCAGCGCGCCCTGAGGGCCTTGACGGCGTTGAGGATGCGGAGGCGGTCGCCGATGGAGGTGATGCCCATCTCCTTGAGGGTCGCCTGCTCGAGCTCGAGCAGGACATCGGATCGGATGTCGTTCTGCTTGAACGTCGCGGCGAGGTGCCCGCATCTGATCTCCTGCAGCCACTGCTGCACATGCGAGTCCGTCCACGTCCTCAGGAAATCCCCGTACTTGGATCCAGACGGCGCCTCCAGTATCCCGCGCCGGCCCGGGAACTGCGTCACCATCGCAGACGGCGACGACGACAGCTGCGTCGACGTCCCCGACAGCGCCACCGCGGCCATTATGATCCCGAGAAAAGCAGAAAGGTAGGGTAAAGGAAAGAAGAAGGAAAGACAAATGGACGGGACGCGGCTGTCGGATTAAGCAGCGCCTTACGCCCGTCGCCATGACAATGATGGTATCAGCCGCCTGCCTTGATCGTTCCTCCCTGCCCGGAACCTCTCATCCGGCCGCGGCACCTGTCAAGTCTTTATTTGTGGCAACTGCGACGCCGTCGCACGCGCCTACGCGCTTCTACGCGTACAAAACCTGAGAACGAACAGAAACACATCATGATCTTCTGCGCCTCAAGACGTTCGCAGGAATCGCTGATAACGGCAGTACCCCTGAAAACCCGAAGAAAGGTTCGAGACTGAAAGCGGGGTTTGACGCCCAAGGGCTCTGTCGTCATCCGCTTGATCAGCGTAAAAACGAGAGATTTTAGCGGGGTTCGGGGATGGAGGACGAGATACCGAACCCCGCTCGGCACGGCACGGCAAGAGGCTCGGACGATGCCGGTTGCACACGGTTCGGACGGAGCCCACCACGAGCGCGCCAAAGCGAGTAGTGAGACTACCGACAACGCATATAGACGCACCACCACCACCTGAAAGTCTGTGACGCCGGGCTCGATGTATCGCCCCAGAATGAACAGTTTTTTTTTTGCTTGTACAGACATATGCCCGTAGTCGTTCCCTCTTACATGTTCACGTCCACTGCCAGTGTATTCTGCTTGAATCTCCTCTACTAGCTTGTAATAATTCTAGATGTCGGACTCTGAGATCGAAGTCACTGGAGAAGACTTGAGTCCCTTCGACGCGTCCACCTGGATCGGCCGAGGCCGAAAGCTTCCAGCAACACTCCCGCGCGGGCTACGCGAACATATCAAGAGCGTACTTCTCATTCCCGATGCTCATCGCGAGTTACTTCCCAAAGCCGATGCTTCAATCGAAGCCTTGATGAGCTGGAGGCCCCCAGAGGCTACGCCTTGCGACGACATCGTCTGGGCGACGAACATCTTCTCGCCCTGCGCACCGAATGGTGCTGTGCGCCACTTCCTCGATGATAATTACTCTTTGCCGCCCCGACAAGCCATAGAGCACGCACACGAGCGAATTGGGCAAGCCATCTTAGATGGAATGCAGTCGTTCTGCAATGCACGATACCAAAATACGTACTTGCCGCTCTGGACCATATCGTTCTATCGTGCACTGTACGAAGTGTTACAGAGACGCGAAGTTGCCCTGAGCTGCTCGAGATGGTTGGAGGCTGCACTCTCTGGCTGCAGTGCAGTTGACGACGCATATCTGTTGCGCGCGCGCGATGCGCTACTCCGTGTACCGTGGCAGGGTAACATCTGTCACGACCTCGATGTCACCCTCTTCCTCCGACTGCTCAGCGACGCGCAGATCTCCGACGGGCTCGTCGACAGCCTTACCCAGTGGGTTATATGCGAGGGTCGCCCAAATACCTCCTCATGCTCGTACTTCGCGTGCGGCATCGCAGTGTGGGACTATCTGAAGGACAAGGATCAGTCGTACTGGACAAAAGAGGGAGCAAGACGGGTCAAGTTCATGATTAACCTCGAAGACAAGCTGAAGAGTGTGCCCTCGCCGCCAAAGTTTCTCTTCCCTGTTCGTCTATCCTTGGGAAAGGACAGTACGGGGCTCGATCGAGGCCACTTTCTCATCGTTGAGGTGAACCCAGCGTCGAAAACCTTTACGCTCGGTGAGAGATGTGTCATACAATCTAATGGACGTGCTCTTACATCGCCTCAGTCGACAGTCTCGTAGGCATGAACACGCACACCATCGTCTCGAAAGTTCAACATTGGCTTCACGGGCGGGTGGATAAGCGTTACAAGCACAAGTCCGAGAGTTCTACCTTGCCGCAAGGTTATCAGAGGGATGGTACATCGTGTGGTATCTGTGTCGCCTCGACAGTCGCCTCTGCGATTCTTGACACCCCACCATGGTCTCACAATATGCGGAGGTCTGAGCGTATCAGGTGGTTTCTGCGATTATTGGGTATACGCGAAGAGCAGCCTGTGAGTCCTGACTCATTTCTGCTTGCGAGATACCTGTAGCCTGACACATATCCAGGTTACCGTCACGATGAGTCAATCAGTCGGTGAAGGGGTCATAGGCAACGAGACCTCTGAGCAGGTATGTGCATTCATAGCCGTGTATTATTGGGCGAACGAGATCCTGACGGCTAGCAGACATTTGATGAGGCGATGGCCGATACAGCATCGCAGACCACCGCGCGCGCGACACCCGAGAGAGTGGATATCATAGACTCGGATGACGAGTTCCCTCTCTTCATATCGAATCCCAAAGGTGCACGATGACTAGATAAGTGCAATGAACCGAACTGAACACCCATATAGCCGCTAAGATTATGCCTCCCGTATCGCCTCGGCCTCACAACTCCTTGAAACGCTCGCTCTCCACGCGCGAGCAGCCAGACGAGAACGCGGCATCAGCTCCCCATCCAAGCACCCCCCTCAGTCCTCGCAAACGAAGAAGGGCGGACCGTATGGGCTCGTCGCACTGTCCGCCTGCTGAGGTCACTCCGCCACGTATTTGTGCTTCAAACTTTTTGGCCGTTGTTGCCGAAGAGGACGGGGACGAGGCCGGATCGAGCCGTGCACACCATGAGTCAGGGTTCGGCGACTGGGTGAAGCGGGATGCGTACGGAAACCCACTCGCTAGGGGCAATTCCAAGACCCAGCTGAGGGATCGGAAGAGGAAGGCGGAGGCGAAGGCGAAGCCGGCGAGCCCCTCGAAGCGTGAGAAATTCGTCGGCAAAATCCTCACTCTCGACGCAGAAGCGACCTTTGACCGCGACGACTACCTGCGCGTCTCGCATTCGCGATGCGGTATACCAATCCGATGCGAAATTAACCGCCCGAAGAACTTCGCCGACCACATACAAAGATGTCGAGGAGTGAAGGCGACTACTTTAATCCAGCGGCCAACCAGCGCACCGTCACTTTCCGTACTTGCTCCGCCGGCGACGGCCCTTCCTGACCTTGCGAACCGCCCATGTCCCGGGCTCAAGGGAGAATGCAGTGAGAGACTGTCTCGTTACATTACGAACAGTGCTCTGGGTGGTGGTGGTGCACGGCCTCGTTACAAGATCGTGCGCGACTTGTATCCCGAAGTCGGCCATGGCAGTCTGAAGCGGTTATCCGAGGCTGCCCGGCGGATTGTGCTGACAGAAGAGCGTGCTGAGTTCTTGTGGCTCGTTGAACGACACCTCGATGCCGTTCGGTCTTCGTCTTGCACTTACTGGGTCTCCGCGCGGATGTCTATCGCTCTGAACACTCTGTCGCCTTGCGAAGAGTGTATAGGATTGGTCAGCTGCCATCCTTTTCAGGTTGCATGTAGCCGTAAAGGCCCGAAGGAACCTGGAAACGAGCAATTCACGCCCGACTCCCTGCAGCTCGAACTGAAGGCGGCGGCAGATAAGCACGGTGCTTTCAAGAACTACCGTCGAGTTCTCCGAGCCTGGGACAAGGTGAGTATATATGCTATACGGGCATTTCTTCGAGGCCTGACAGACTGCTTTATCTACAGGGCCGTCGCGAGGGTTCATTGCTCGTCAAGTTTGCCGAGTGTCTCCTGCTCGACGCCACGTTCCCCGGCAAAGATACCTTTGTTGGTCTCATTGAGAATGCGGTTCGTGCGCAGGAACGAGATGAGGGCGAGAAGGGGATGCAAGGATTCAAGTATCACCCGGACACAATCGAGTTCGGCCACAATTTGGCGATCATCTCCCCGCAGGCTCACGCGGCTGTCTCCAAGGTATTCAAGATACCCAGTATTCGTGCTTATCAGTGCGTGCTCTCTTCTTTGGCATTCATGAGACCTTCGCTCGAACTACTTTGCAGGCAGAAACGGGCTAAAGAGCCCCGGTTTCCTGTCGGTATCGATGTCAGCGAAACACCCAGGCTTCTCAAGGACACGCTCGACAAGCTTCACTGGTCCGGTCCGGTTCACATAGCCGATGATGAGACAAAGTTGGATGCAGCGTTGCGTGAGTACTACGATGTTCGCCGTGAGGCTTGGGTCCTTCTTGGAACACCCGACCTTGAACCACCTCTTCTTCCCGATCCTCAAGGTGTCCAGGCTGCCATCGACAAGGGCAAATACGTCAAGGCCACACAGGTATATAGTATCATATTGAAGTTGTCGTGAGAGTCTTTCTAATATGATGGTGATAGCTCCGTCTATGGACCGCGCAAGTCCCTTGTCCGGGTATCCCGGTCATCATTATAGCAGCTATGCCTGTCGACTCAAAAGTCAATGCGAGCGATCTCATTGCCTATCAGGAGCGTCTCCTTGCCTGCCTGTTCGACTTTGATATCAACATCTGCAGCATGGCAGTCGATGGTGCAGGGAAAGAACGCAACATGCTGCGCCATTTCGACCAGACCGCGCACTTTCATCGCGACCAGATCATCCCATACCCTCCCGACCCATCAGACCCCACGCGCGCGTTCAACCCTCGCATTCCTTACATTGGGCCTGCTGATCGTCCCTATCCTGTCAGCTTGATGGAAGATCCTCCCCACTGTCGAAAGACAATCTGGGCGAACTTCTTTGCTGGTGGCCGTTATCTCACCTTCGGGGATCATACGGTCAGCTACCGCAACTTCTATCATGCCTGGCAGGATGGTGGTCCTCTGTGGAAGCGCGACGTCATCAAGGCTGACAGGCAGTCTGATAACTCTGCGCGGGCGATCTTCTCGTCGGCCAATGCACGCTGGATGCATGAGACTCGCCCGTCTGAGACCCTCGCCACTGTCGTCTTGGTCACTGTGCTTGGTGGCCTGATAGATGCCTATGAAAACAAGACGATCACTACCGAAGAGCGCATAGGGGCTGTGCTGCGAGCATACTACGTCATCGACATCTGGAAGCTGTTCATCAAGTCGATGGGATACTCTTCACAACATCAGAGGACCACCCAAATGCTTGACTAGCGCTTGGAAAGCACGCCAAGCGCCCGAGCACCGTCAAGCATCGTCAAGCACTCGCAAGCACGCCCTCACGTGGTCTTCTCGAAATGACCTCGAGCTCGGAATCCTTACTACTCCTTCGGACTTGTCCGAAAACCAGCGGAATACGTTCAGGTGTGCTGCCAGTTGGCCCTCCAGCCTTTTCTGGAGGCGCGTATAGCAGGGATGAGGTACTATGTCGAGTCGGGACACACGCACGGCGGTTGCCGAGTTCCGCCTCGTGGCCGCAAGCTCCAGCAGAGTCGTCGACTTTACTCAACGATCCGGCCGAATTTTGCTACAAAATTTAGTTCGCTGGAATGCTGGCAGTGATCGGCACCGCCTACAAATAAGAAAAACGAGGGGAGGGCCACGGTAAAGGAAACATCATTTGAGGTCATTTCGGCGACGCGGCGTTGTGACGTCGCGTGTGGACTGTTTGGGTGCGCTTCTGTGCGCTTGCGAGTGCTTGACGATGCTTGACGCTGCTCGGGCGCTTGGCGTGCTTTCCAAGCGCTAGTCAAGCATTTGGGTGGTCCTCTGATGTTGTGAAGAGTATCCCATCGACTTGATGAACAGCTTCCAGATGTCGATGACGTAGTATGCTCGCAGCACAGCCCCTATGCGCTCTTCGGTAGTGATCGTCTTGTTTTCATAGGCATCTATCAGGCCACCAAGCACAGTGACCAAGACGACAGTGGCGAG